CATTTATATTTTGAGATAAGGTCTTTCTAAGTTGCCCTTGTTGGCCTTGAACTTGTGCTCCTCCTGTCTCAGCCTCCAGAGTAGATGGGATTGTAGGCATGTACCACTGTACCTAGCACATTCTGAAGCTTTGAATCAGAGTTTAGGTGAGGCTTAGTGTTACTTGTTGCCCACATAACTTTTTAATGAAGAAAAGCTGTATGTTTAAAGGCTCATTTTATAGGGCTATAAAACATGTTTAAATGTCAAACTGTCCATTGCATGAAAACAGCCATGTAAAAAATGATTTAAACCCAGATGATTGAGGTTTAGATGAACAATGCATGTGGGTGACTCATTGAACTCTCTCCACAAAGCCCTCCAACAGTTTGTGTTTGAAAACTATAAATCCCTCATCTCTGGCCAATTGTCCTATGAGAAATTGTCAGGGTGGTGTGAGAGAGTTCATAGTTGGCTCACCACTACTCTGTGTCCCTAGAGAAATAGCTTTGTGATAGGCCTGGATGATGCTGGACTACTCCAGAACCAAAGTTAAACAGAACAGGTCTGGGCACTAGTTATTAGAGAAGCATTCTCAGGACTTGTGAGGATTCTTGGTGTCCAATAGGACCACGAGGTTCCAATCGTTTGGAGAAGGGTCTTAGGAAATGTTAAAGTGACGATGGTCTCTTATAGTTGTATGATGTGTTACATTTAAATACCTTTATATTCAGTAATTTGATTAATTGACTAAAACTTTGAGTGCTTTCTCTATCCACAGCATTGATCTTTCATTGTAAGCAGGAAATACAAGGAAGTACATTGGAGTCTTTACCACGAAGAACAGTTTATATTAACAGATGGGAGAGGAGTACAGAAATCATACATAAATAACTTTAAGAAATTAAAATTGAACAGTTTAGTGAGAGATGTCTTATTACTAATAAATGCCAAAGAAACTGAGAAGCAAGCTCACTATGTGCTGCAAGGAGCAATTAGGAAAAAAATATGGAGGAAGTAGGATCAGAGGTAAGAAGTGGGCTTCTAGAAGGACAGATGGGATCTGGTTGGCCAAAGTAAAGAAAGGCTGGACTTTCAAAATAAAGATAAAGTTAATCAGATTTTTCAGGACAACAAAATGAGATTTAGAAGGATTAAGAGGGCTACATAGTTGGGATTTGGAGGTACTGTCCTCCACTGAAAGGAACAGAAGAGCTTGATGTGCAACGTCTGGAAATAGCCTGCATTGTCTCTTGGAGTTTTTGTGTCTAATGGAGACTAGAGGGCAGTTGTTTCTCCGTTATAACAACATGTATTGAATTCTCCACACTCATCTCCTACCAGCATTAGAGCTCATCTGGTGATCTTGGAACTGTATCTAAAACAGAAACACTGTGTTTGCCTCCCCTCTGTGGTGAATGCTGGAGAGGAGGAAGATGAAATCTTAAAAAGACCAGACTGATCACAGCACTATCAGCATTTGACATATTGCTCATTCTGTTGTGCAGTCATGTGGTGGCAATGATGCTGAAGTGCAGGGAGCATCAAATGCTACATAGTATAGTTGGAATGGCAGTAGATTCTGCCAAGCTAATCATTGTTATCCTTTCCTACTTACTAAATAATACACAGATATTTTAGATAAACATTTTTTAAAAAAGCAGTATTTTCTGTTAAGCAGTTTCTTTGAAACCATGTTGAGTTTTCAGTTTAGCAACAACATTTCCAAAGGGAAATCCAAATCATGTTTTATTATAATCAGATTAAATATTAAATAATTATTTGAATGTTCGTTTTTACTTTCTAATGAAGTGGTCTGTTCAGTTTGCTTTCATTGTGCATTACCAATGAAAGGCGTGGTTAATTTATGTTTGAAATTGCTGTGATTCTAGTCAGTGTGGTGGTATATTCCTGTAATCTCAGCTGTTTGGGAAGCTGAAACAGGAGGATTGCAAGTTGGAGGCCACCCTTGGCAACTTAGTTATACCTTGTCTAAAAATAAGAAACTGAGGATGTAGCTTAGTAGCAAAGTATCCCTAGGTTCAATCCCCAGCACATGCATGCACACACACACAAAAGAAAACTCCCCCCCAAAACAAAACAGAAAAACAGACTAAGTAACACATTATTCACAAGTATGTTAATATTACTTAAAAAGTAGAATGTTGCATGATGTAAGTTGGTATTAAACTGGTATTTCTCCCTTTTGAACTTATAGATCAGAGGTTACCAAACTTTTTCAGTAAAGAGCCAAATAATACACTAGTACACCTTTTAGGCTTGGGGCTATACAGTATCTATTATGACTATTAATATCTTTCTGTTGTATACAATACAGAAACTGATGAGTATGGTTATGATCCAGTAAAACTTTAAAGTAGGTAGAAAGCCAGTTTGGCCTGCATACCTTAGTTCACCAACTCCTTTTCTAGAGAACCCATTTTGTCCCATAGTTTCAGATGTAATATTTGCCAAACGTTCTACTTATAGGATGACTTATATACTTTAAAGATGCCATATTGTCCCTATGTCCTATTTAAAAGACACTCTGTTTTATTCTTCATGATAACAAAGGATATATAAGTTCTAGATTATGATTTTCAGTCTATTTTAATGGACCTGTGTCAATTTCATTGAAATATTAGCAGAATTAAAAACTTGGGATTTAATAATGGGTTATAATGTTCATACTCTTTTTTTAAAGAGCAGGAAGTACTAGTATTGCTAATTATTATTATTATTATTAGGTACTGGGGATTGAATCCAGGGGCACACAAGCAACTGAGCCACATCCCCAGCCCTGTTTTGTATTTTATTAGAGATAGGGTGTTACTGAGGCTGGCTTTGAACTTGTACTTCTCCTGTCTCAGCCTCCCGAGCCACTGGGATTATAGGCGTGCGCCACTGAGCCCGGACCTAATTATCTTTTCATATTTGATCTTCCCTTTTAAATTACAAATTTTTCAAAAACGGGGACCATATCTTTTATTTCTTTCTATCTCTCATATCATTTAGTACAATGCCTTCCTTGGGCAAAGTATAAAAAATGCACCTGTTGTCCCTTTGGGTCCATTCTAATTATGAGACTTCAGTTTCCATTTGTGGAATACTTTATCGTTTCAAAATTGCTTTGTATAGGTCCCTTATCTGGTTCTCACAACAGCCTCAGAAAAAGGAAGATAGGGTATATATATTCATCCCTTTTGTAGACCATGTGGCTGATGTTCCAAAGGTGAAGTGAGTTTCTCAAGTTTATGTTGTCTAATAAATGGCACAATGGCTTTCTGTTGTAGCAGTTTAGTGTGATGTTTAACTTTCTAAAAGTAAGTTCATCTTTTTATTCTTTTAGTCATAGAATTGTACATTTTCTATAGAGTTTAAATATTTAGTTTATGGTTTAGCAGTCAAATATTTCTTTTTTTTTGACACAGAAGAATCATTTTTCCATAGTTTAAAGGAAACAGATCTGAGTTATGCACAATTAGAAATAGTTTTTTTTCCCTAAATCTCATAAATAAAATTGTCCTATTACTTCATTTTCAGAGAATAGACTGGCCATTCATGTTTTCTGCACTGGGCCCTTGGAATATGAGTCTGTATTTATTCTTATACATGCTGTGTTCTCTTTGCTGTGAATATATTACTCTTACTAGAAAAGGGGATTTTACCTTCTAGAACTCTGCCAGTGATGGTTATACAGATGAATACATAAGTCAAAAATCAAACTGCATATTTTTTTTATTCACATACTTTATTTTATTTTATATTTAGAGTCAGGGTCTTGCTAAGTTGCTTAGGGCATCACTGAGTTACTGAGACTTGCTTTGAACTTGCACCTCCTGCCTCAGCCTCCCAAGCTGCTGGGATTACAGGCGTGTACCACTGCGCCTTGCTTGTGTGCTTTATTTTAAATAAAGTTATGCCTGAATTTTTAGTAGTTAGTAATGGAGAAAAAAAAAAGCTCAAGTTCTCCCTCCTCTTCTCAAGCTTCCCCTTCACCAGCCTGCTGCTTTTTTTTTTCCCTTCAATATAACTTTGTAAAATAGCAGTCACCGTTGTCTAGTTGGCATTACAACAGTGGAGTCAAACTGCTAGGGTCTGAATCTCAGCATTGCTACCACTTCTTCGTGCCTCGTCTTCCTCATTTCTAAACTGGAGGTAATTAGAATACTTACTTCCTAGGATTGTGAGGATTAGGATTAGATGAGGTAATGTGTAGAAAGCACTTCGGATGGTGCCTGGTCTGTAATGAGTGTTAAAATGCAAGGGGATATTATTATTTTAAAAACTGAACCTGTTCTTAGTTTTTGTGCACTGCCTTGACTGATGCCCGGTAACAGGTCTACCATTCTAAGGCCATTGTCTGCGATGACATTTGCAAGTCTAATATGAGGTGGTGTCCTGCTGGGTATGTTAGTGTCCCACAATTTGATTTTTTAAAAATATTTTTTATTTTTTAGTTTTTTAGATGGACACAATATCTTTATTTTATTTTTACGTGGTGCTGAGAATCGAACCCAGTGCCTCACGCATGCTAGGCAAGCACGCTACCACTTGAGCCACTTTCTTAGTCCATAATATGTCCAACTATATGTATTTTACTAATTATGTGCCAGAATTTCAAGGAAAATGGCATATTTAGTACCCTATTATTTATTATATTTTTTCTTTGTTTTCATTCTTCTTTTTATTTTTTGTATTTTTAATTTAAGGACCTGACTTAGTTTTACATAAGGAATGTTGGGCTAAAAATGGGAGACATGGATTTTAGTCACAGTTTTGTCATCAATTAGTTTTATGTCTTTGTGGAACTCAGCTTGTGTGTCCTTATTTATAAAATGGCAAATTATGATATCTGCTACGTTCTTTGGGGGCACATGCGTACACAATTTGTGTGTGTGTGTGTATGTATGTATGTATACACAAGAAGATACTTATTCAGTGTAATGATTCCTATAAAGTAATTACAAGTGATCTCTAATTGCTTTATTAAAAATAATTATTGCTTTCTCTATTTTTAGCTTCGGGCTCAGAATCAGGTCCTAAAAAAAGGTGTTGTGGATGAACAAGCAAATTCTGCTGCTTTAAAGGTATCTAACAGGTCATTTATGTTGTGAATGTTAAGCGTTTGGTGATACTCAAAGCAGGGGATTCAGCTGGTTTTCAGGGTTAAAGTCCCAACTCTGACACTGATTCACTAAGGATAGGGGATAATAATATTCTTTTTTGTGTTTAACACTCCTACTTGCTTAGGAATTACTATTATATGAATATTATATTTTGATTTTCTTAGCTAAAAATTACTTTAAAAGTGTTATTTGACTTTAATACATTTCTTCTGTACCTTGCCTTTATTTAGCTAAAATCCATCTGGATTAATGGGGCTTCTCATCTGTGGTCATCTCCAGACAGCACTTGGAGGGGGCTATGTTGTATTCATATTTGTATCCTTGGCACTCAGCAGATGGTAGGGCCCTAATAAATGGATTTGAATGTATAAATCATTTAGTCTATTAATCTTGCCTTTAGTTGAGCTAGTTGATATTAATTACCTTTGTTAATCTGAACACTGAGTGATAAATTTTACCATCAGAACCTTTGTTGACCTTAGTGGAGAAATATGATAGGAAATGAAGGAATTTGTTTCTACCTCATTTTGGTAGGCATGTAATAAATAATGCTTAGTGATATTTTTAAGTGATGGATAATTTAATACTAGGATGTAGATTCCTTCTTGGACAACCTAACAGTCTAATCTAGCAGACTAGCAAATTATCAACTATGTTGTAATTACAATGACCATTGTAATGAATAATAAAACAAAAAGTAATTTCTTTACATTATTATAATAAGTTACCACCAGTTGACTAATGTTCCAGCTCTACTAACCAGTCATTAATTTTGGAAGACCCTAACCCAACCTCTCTCTAAACTTCAGTTTCTGCAAGGGGGATGATAATGTTATCAGCCTCTACAGAGTTGTAAACCGTGAATAAAATAATAAATATACTTAGCACTGATATGTGAATGCTCCATAGGTGGAAACAGTAGTCACCATTGCAACTGCCACCACTGTTGACACTATCGCTACAATCATAGTTAATCAAACAACCAGCAATAGGAGGCTGTCAAACATGAAAGCAGACTACAACAAATAGGAAATACTTTCCCCAGTAATAGGCTTTAAATGAATTGCTGGGTATGGTAAATATTCATGGACTTGACTTTGTGTGTGTGTGAGATATACTGTCAGATTGGGGCACTCTACCTGAGCCACATCCCCAACCCTTTCTTATTTTTTATTTTGAGATTGGGTCTCACTAAGTTGGTGAAATTGGCCTTGAATTTGGAATCCTCCTGCCTCAGCTTCCCAAGTAGCTGAGATTACAGACCTGCCCCACTACACCTGACTATTCTGTTTTTTCAAAATAGAGCCAAACTAAATATTTCTCTCTAGCTTTCCATATTTCCTTATTTTGACTGATTTAAATTCAAGCAGAGAGGATTTATAGAAAAAAAGAAATACAAATACATTTTTTCCCATCCTTGTTCACTGAAGGGTATCAATAGTGAGTTTGAGTTCTCTTAAAACAAATTCAAGTTTATAAATTTGTGTCCTCAGGCTTTGTGTTTGTTCACTGTCATAGATTTAACAAAATATAGTTGTAGGTATTTTACTTTTAAGTTTTCAATACTGTTATTTCAGTATACTTGCTTTTTTAATTTTATTTTTTAATTTACTTGGTTTGGCCAAAAGATGATTTTTTCCTAAAACACAGCTAAAAACATAAGAACTGAAATGACAAACATGCAACTTGAATTTTCTAAAGCAAGAGATTTTGATTATATTTTCCTGGAACAAAGATTTGTTTCCCCCTATTATCTTTAAACCTCAAGGCTAAAGGGTGAGGTACATTTTGTTTTCACTTTGATATAGGAACAACTGAAAATGAAGGATCAGTCATTGAGGAAACTACAACAGGAAATGGATAGTTTGACATTTCGAAATCTGCAGCTTGCCAAGAGGGTAGAACTACTTCAAGATGAACTATCCCTAAGTGAGCCTCGAGGCAAGAAGAACAAGGTAGGTTCTTTAAAGGCAAGTTAGTGTGGCTCATCATGAGGCGCAGACACTGGTTTCAGCAGAAAACCCCATCTCCAAGTTCTCTAACATTTTATTATTATATGTTGATATTGGGTCAAGAAAGCAGACGTTTGCTATTAATATCTACTAAATATGCAAAAGTCAGTTTTAAGAGATGTATTAGCACCAAACTTGTATATAGTTGAGTTAGTGGCTGAGAAAAGTCAGTGGAATATTTCACATTGGTCACAATTGTTGATCTCTTTTAGTTACATGAAGTTGCCATTAACCCAAAGTAGGGCAGACAAAATGAGAAATATTGATAAACTTTAACTATTCATATGAAAGTGACAATTGAAACACAGGTTTCAACTTAGGTCTGTAAGTTTAAAATAGATGTATTTTCATAGTGTTTATTCTTATGAGGCCAATTTAGTATTCTTGTCTTGAGATTTAAAAATAAATGTTTTCCCTTAGGTTTTTTTTTTTTTTTTTGGTCAGTTAAAATTGCTACTGCACTAGGATAGATGTTTGGTATTTTTGAACCTCCTATGATTAAGAAGTTGCTTTTGAGGGGGGTAGTAGGGGCTAGTGATAGAGTCTTGTAAGGTAGAGAGCCATACTCCAGAATGTATAGGTAGAAGCGGTTATAATAGAGTGGGTAAAAGTGTACAGTGACTCCGAAGAAGCAGTGTGTGTCTCATTGTGAGTGTTAAATGGGATCATGTGAAAGTGCCTAGGACTCTATTTGCCACATAATATGTGAATACCTTTTTCATATGTATTTCCCTACATGGGAGGATTCTCTGGAGTGCTAGTGTTCAAGTTAAGGGGGAAACAGGGGATAATAGACATGTATTAGAGTCACTTGGAAAGTTGTCAAAATACACATGCCCTGGAAATTTTGAAAGACCCCTGGGAAGGAAATAGCCATCTAGACTTCAAACAGGTGCACCAGGTTATTAATATTCCCTCCCCTGCTAGACTACAACTGTTTAGCAGAGGTGTGGGTATAACACTTGTGAATTATTTTTAATTAAAGCTATCCAAATTTGGAAGTACTTGAGGCCCGCAAACATGTCAGCAGCACTGTTCTTTTTGCATCTCTTGTGTTCAGACGTGATTAATATTTCATGTTACTATTGTTGTTTATACATAGCTGCTCTGTTTTCAGAGGGCTTTTAAAACTAATTTATGGGGCTGAGGTTGTGGCTGAGTGGTAGAGCTCTTGCCTAGCATGAGCCAGACACTGGGTTTGATCCTCAACCACATAAAAATAAATAAATAAAGGTATAAAAAATAAAATAAAACTAATTTATATTGAATCAGTAGGTAACTTTATTTTAAGTGAAGAACGAGGATACAGAAAAGGGAGAAAAGGGTGGTGTCTGATGTTTGAACACAATTGCATTGTTAGATTGTTCCTTGAATAGTCTGAGTTCTGTGAATCATCTGAAAACAAATGTTCATTATTAGATCTTTTAAATAGTACTATTATTCTCAGTAGAAAAAGTGAATATTAGTTAAAAAGCAAAGTGAAGGGATTTTAAAATAATCTTTGAGCTTTTTTCTTATGTTTATTTATAATAGCTTTATTTTACATGACTTTTTTTAAATTTAGAAATTTATGTGATTTCTTATATAGCTTATCTTTGTGAAATACTGCTACATTATTTATTATAATTTCTTAAGGGAGTTTAATAACTCAGACTCGTAGAATTGCTAAAATTCTCATTTCTGAAACTGAAAGATTAAATTGAAATGGTTTTTATTAGCATACTTATTATTACTAGCTTTCTGGGTCTGCTCTGTCTTCCAACAGAATTACCCCTGAATTTATCTGCAAAGAATAGTGAACCTTACTTGCTATTTTCTGTCATTCTGTCTTTCAAGTTTTCCTGCTTTTGGGAGTGTTTACACTTCCAGTTTGTATCACGTAGGAAAAGTTAAATGATGGACTGTATACCTTTTGCAGGGTTGTTTGAGAATGGTGAACACATAGAAGAGACAAGCTACTAAGGTGATAGAGAATCTGTGTACCTTAGGATGTTTCTCTAAAGGATGAAAGTTATGTGGACATAACTTATTCTTTCCATCAGAAAAGTGGAGAGTCTTCTTCTCAGTTGAGCCAAGAGCAGAAGAGTGTCTTTGATGAAGATCTGCAAAAGAAGATAGAAGAAAATGAACGGTTGCATATACAAGTGAGAAAGATCTTTCTCTTTTTCTCTATCAATTAAAAAATGGGTTACACAATCTGGAAGGTGGAAAAACCAAAGCAAATACACTGCTTTGTGTCCAGATGGATTTTTAATGTCTCTTGAGGTCTTTAAATTTATTTTCATTTCTCAAATCTTACATTTGTCTTGATTTGGATATCTGCTTTGAAGTATATGCTTTTATTCAAAGTACAGCAGAATAGCTTTATAATTTAACAATACAGAATTATACTGGGCACTATTCATTTTGCACAGGAAAATGACTGGATGGGTCATTTAATGAGGTTATCAGGAAGTAGGGTTTGCTTTCTAATTTATTAATGCTTAGTTGGTTTTTATCAGTACCTCTGTTAGACTATAATGCCTTTGAGGGTGTAGACTAGGTATGCTTTGTATGCCCAGCTCCAAGGTAGAACCTTACTCATGGCAGGTACTTGCGTATTTATATGGTGTTGAAAAGACACTGTCAGGCATTGTGTATTACTCCCTGGCTGTTGGCATGCCTCAAACCATTGAACATATTGTAAGAATCGTAATGCAGTATATCCAACTGCATTAATATTTCATGTTACTATTGTTGTTTATACATAGCTGCTCTGTTTTCAGAGGGCTTTTAAAACTAATTTATGGGGCTGAGGTTGTGGCTGAGTGGTAGAGCTAATTTTTTTTCGTTTTTGGTCAAATGATGGAAAATAAATATGCACAAATTCTTATCTTTGAAAATCTTAAAAAATGAGCTTTTGACTTCAGTATATTTTGTGTTTTACGTATTCGTAATTCTTAATCAGGATTAAATTCTTATTAAGGGAAAGAGCTCTGCCTTTTTTTAGGAATAGCACTTAAATTTTTGATTATTTCAGTGTGGAAGTAAGTAGAGTTGAAGTTACACTCTAATCAGTTGAATTCTCTGTGTGCCAAAAATTGTTTCAATAGAAATTCATGAGACCGAGAGGAAAGAAGTTCGGGCTTTGGGTAGGTTCCTTGTATTTAAATCTCATTTCTACTATATTTTGAACTGTGAGACATTAGACAAGTTATGTAACCCTTTCAAATTTCAATTTCCATATTTGTACAGGAGGGATAACAAAAAATACTACTTCTGATTCTCTCTTGGATTAAATGAGATAATGCCTATTTGATCTAGCACATTGAGCATATGGGGCCATATGGAAGTTGCTCAGTGAATAGTCACTGCTGTTGTTTTTTTTTCTCATTTATGCATATTAGACTGTGAAAAGTCAAAAAACATTTTTTTCTTTTTCAGTTTTTCGAAGCTGATGAACAGCACAAGCATGTGGAAGCAGAGCTGCGGAGTCGGCTGTCTGCTTTGGAGACAGAAGCTGCCCAGCACCAAGCTGTGGTAGATGGCCTGACACGCAAGTACATGGAAACCATCGAGAAACTGCAGAATGACAAAGCTAAACTAGAAGTAAGGTTCATTATTGTTAGAATGTTTTAAAAGTGGGTTAAGGCTTTTATAAATTGTTGGTGTGCTTTATAGAGAATAGAATTAGTCATTCCAGGCGACCCTGTAGCCTGAGTGGCCCCCATGTGTGCTCCCATCTGTAACCTAATATGTCAACTTTTCTTTTTCTTCTAAAATTCAGGTAAAATCTCAGACTCTAGAAAAAGAGGCCAAGGAATGTCGACTTCGAACAGAAGAATGGTATGTGGAAACATGAATTCCAAGCAACTCGTCTGTCTTATCTGTCTCACATTTGAGATGAGGAGATGGGAGCAGGATCCTTTATCATTCTCTGGGGACTTAGCATTCTTGAGAGAGGGGCTTGTGCCTTAGTCCTCAGCCTACAGATATGTTGGGCCATGGCAGGTACCCTTTTGGGGCTCCCATATTGAGGACTGGATACTTTCTATTTCAGCCTGCCCTAAAGAGAGGATTCATGCAGGAATGCTGACTGATAAACACTTTGCCAACCATTTTATGCTACATTTTGAATAAAGTAAAGGTCTATTCCCTAAAGATCTAAAAAGAGCATACTACAGGGATACTGCTACATCGATGTTCATAGCAGCACAATTCACAGTAGCTAGACTGTGAAACCAACCTAGATGCCCTTCAATAGATGAATGGATAAAAAAAATGTGGCATTTATACACAATGGAGTATTACTCTGCATTAAAAAATGACAAAATCATGGAATTTGCAGGGAAATGGATGGCATTAGAGCAGATTATGCTAAGTGAAGCTAGCCAATCCCTAAAAAACAAATGCCAAATGTCTTCTTTGATATAAGGAGAGCAACTAAGAACAGAGTAGGGAGGAAGAGCATGAGAAGAAGATTAACATTAAACAGGGACGAGAGGTGGGAGGGAAAAGGAGAGAGAAGGGTAACTGCATGGAAATGGAAGGAGACCCTCATTGTTATACAAAATTACATACAAGAGGAAGTGAGGGGAAAGGGAAAAAAAAAAACAAGGGGGAGAAATGAATTACAGTAGATGGGGTAGAGAGAGAAGATGGGAGGGGAGGGGAGGGGAGGGGAGGGGGGATAGTAGAGGATAGGAAAGGCAGCAGAATACAACATACACTAGTATGGCAATATGTAAAACAGTGGATGTGTAACCGATGTGATTCTGCAATCTGTATACGGGGTAAAAATGGGAGTTTATAACCCACTTGAATCAAATGTGTGAAATATGATATATCAAGAACTATGTAATATTTTGAACAACCAATAATAAAAAAAAGTAAATATTATATGATATAATTTAGGGATATCTACATCAAAATTATTACTTAGCAGTGCATGCTGAAGTCATACTCCAGCATTTATTTAGTATGTAACATAATATCTTAAGTTTTAATAGGACCCCTCAAATGAATTTCTTGCTTCTTTTCAGTTGCTTTGGTAGAATTACATGAATTGGTAGAATTACATGAATGGTTTAGATGTGTACCTCTGCTCATGATTGAATCAAAACAAATCATCAGATTTTACGCTCAAGAGAAGAAATCTGATATAATACTTTTAATAAAAACTTTGGAGTAATACTGAACAAACATTTATGTGGTATGAAGAGAAAACTTATGCTTTTGAAGTGGCTCTAAGATTACTCTGATCTGGGAAGAATTAAGTTTTGTAAGATACTGGGACTATGATGAATTCTTCCAGACTCTCACACCATTCTGCAGAAGTCTCAGGGGATTTGGAATTCAGGCATAGTGTTTCTCTTATCGTTATCTTTTAACAACTCTCTGCTCAGAGTGTCCCAGATGTCAGGCACAGTTCTCTGAGAGCATGAAACCAGCTGTTGAGGTAATAAGCAAATGATGTTTCACTGTCTGACAGGAGATAATGTGGTTTTATGTTTTTTCTTTCAGTCAGTTACAGTTAAAGAGTCTTCATGAAGATTTGTCAGGTAGATTGGAGGAATCCTTATCAATCATCAATGAAAAAGTACCTTTTAATGATACAAGTAGGTATTGTGAACAGTTTTCTGTTATTTGCAACTTTGAACCTCTTTGTGGTAGCCAACTAATTAAAACAATTCTAATAACTTTGGCAACAAATTTAATTGGCTGAACAAAGGGTTGCTTTCTTTTTGTTCTTTTCCTTAGCTTAGGCTCTCATATTATATAGGGGGATTTTAAATGACATACAATCACTCCAGAGTCAGTCTTCTTGGAAAAAACCCAAATCCACATCTTTGTATTGCACATATTTATCATATCTCATGGTAAAAATGAACCTGCACATAAAGTAGTCAAATATTTGTGTGAGCAAAATTGTTGTTTATGGTGGGGAGATACTGGTAGTGGGAGGTAGATCTTTTCAGCCTGGTGTTGGCCTTCAGTCTGTCCCCAGTGACAGTCAGGAAGCTGCCTTGGTTAAGCCCGGCTTTCTCTTTATTCTGGGCATGGTCTGGTAACTTACACATCCAAGAGCAACAAAAAAGAACTTAAAAAAAAAAAATACAAAAATGGTACAACAAGTGGGTGTGGTGGGTCATACCTGTACTCCCAGCACCTTGGGAAGCTGAGGTGGAAAGATCAAAAGTTTGAGTCATGCTTGGGCAATTTAGTGAGACCATGTCTCAAAAATAAAAAGGGCTGGGCTTACTTCATGCCTGTAATCTCAGCAACTTGGGAGGTTGAGGCAGGAGGATTACAAGTGTGAGGCCAGCATCAGTAATTTAATGAGGCCATAAGTAAATTAGTGAGACCTTATCTCAAATTTAAAAAATAAAAAGGGCTGGGGATGTAACTGTGTAGTAAAGTGCTCCTGGTTCAGTCTCCAACACTAAAACAAAACAAAAATAAAAGTGAAAATGGCTTGGGATATAGTTCAGTGGTGTATCACTTGATTACTTGCCTTGCATGTGTAAGGCCCTGGGTTCAATTGCCATTACTGCAAAAAACAAATGAAAAACTAGATAATACCTTACATTTGTAATAGGTGCCAAGTTAGTAACTTTTGTGTAAGAATTAAGTCAAGATCTTGAAAGTGAAGAAAATATTTGTTTGGATTTTGAAACTTATATTTAAATTAATGCACATTTTCTTTTTCTGTGATCACATGATTGAAATTAATTTTTTTTACTTCTCCTAAATTTTTCTTAGGGAAGACCAGAGTGAGAGAGAGAGAGAGAGAGAGAGAGAGAGAGAGAGAGAGAGAATGTGTGTGTGTGGGTGGGGGAGAGAAAAGCGAAGAAATCACAGGAAAATAGTAGTAGTAGTTTGGTCCAACACTAATATAAGCATTTGTCATTATTGTATCAAAAACCTAAATTCCCCCTTTGAAAACAACATCTGTTTCTGGCTTCTGTATTAATGTAAATAACGTTAGCATACTGCTGGGTGAGGTGGCGCACGCCTGTAATCCCAGCAACTCAGTAGGCTGAGACAGGAGGATCTCAAGTTCAAAGTTAGCCTCAGCAAAGGTGAGACACTAAGTAACTCAGTGAGACCCTGTCTCTAATAAAATATAAAAATAGGGCTGGGGATGTGGCTCAGTGGTTGAGTGTCCCTGAGTTTAATCCCTGGTACCCCGCCCCTCCAAAAAAAGAAAAATAAAAAAAATTAGCATACTTTGCTTCCTTGAATTTGAAATCTTTGTATTAAATTTTTCATTTGAAGCCTTGTATTGGTTAGTCATCAGGTGCTAATAACTTCTTCCTGAATCTCTTCATCCTTTCTTTTCCAATACTAGTTGTCACTTGGTTTTAGGTCCTTATGTCACATATGGATTAGCTACTTTTAGTTCCCAAAATATTTAGAGATCATTTGCTGAGTGCCTAGATGGGTAGGTAGCATAGGAGATGCAAACATTTGTAAGACAGAAATCTGTACCCTCAAGGAATTTATGGTCTATAGGGCAAAGATAGATATAGAAGTGTCTGTATAGAAAATACAAGCTAGACTGTGCCATAAAGAACCACTTGGAGTTTTAGAGGAAAGTGACATTATTCTGTGGGTGTTTGAGAAAGCCTTCCCAGAGTAAGTGTGCTTGAGTCAGGCTTGTGTGTGTGTAAGCAGATTATTGGACAGAGAAGAGGGAGAACAAGCAAGAGAATTTGTGCAGAGTATGATATGTGGGCCTAGAGTTCCAACATGACCCCAGGAACAGTAATTAAGTGTAATGGGGGTTAGGAGTGGGATGCAGAGGGCAGTTACAGTTAGTTCTGAAAGGGAGAGTGGGAGTGGACCCTAGAATTTTGGGCTATGGACTTAGGATTTTGTTTATAAGGCCATTGTTTGTTGGAGAGATTTTTGAGCCAGGCACTGTCCTGATGAGATTCATGTACTCCACAAGGCTAATCCAGTGATAGAGTGTAGATTGCCTTGGAGTGGGAAAAAGGGAGGTTGAGGCTTTTGTGATGATAGTTCTGGTGTGCCATCATGGAGGCTTGGTCCTAGGCTGTCAGGCTCAACAAAAGTTTGTGTGAATGGGGGACAGGGTGAGGGCAGAGGTTAAGTATGGTACAGGTGCAAGAGAAGTCACTGTGGAGGAATTTTGTGGAAGGAATTAGAATAGCTTGGTTCTTTCAGGGAGGTTAGGAAGAAAGAGGCGGTGAAGGGGAAAGATTGTGGTTCATTTGACAGAAATAAAAGGTAAATATGAGCTGGGTGTGGTGGCACACACCTGTAATCCCAGCAATTTGGGAACTGAGAAAGGAGGATTACAAGTTCAAAGCCAGCTTCAGCAAATTAGTGAGGCACTAAGCAACTTAGTGAGACCCTGTCTCAAAATAAAAATGAAAAGGGCTGAGAATGTAGCTTGGTGGTAAAGTACCCCTGGGTTAAATCTCCAGTACCAATAAATAAGTAAATAAATAAATAAAATTTAAAAATTTAATGAAGGTAGATGTGTTAGCTTTCTATTTATCTGACAAAATGCCTGAGAAACTTAAATGTAGGAAAGGTTTATTTTGGCTCTAGTTTCAGACCATGGTCAGTTACCTGTGTTGATTTCTCCAGCTCAGTGATGGGGGTGGAAGTGTGGGGGTGGGGAGGGGAGAGACTGTGGTGGAGAGAAGCTAGAGAAATGGAATGAAATAGAATCAGGAGAAGAAAGTGTTTCATCCAGTGGTGTTGGTCAATTCTGCATATTAATGTGGAAAGGTCATAAGAGTAATGGTGGTGGAGGCAGCTGGTTTTAGTGATTTGATTTTGTGACTTTGAGAGGACTAGAAATCTTTGAGGTAGTGCTTCCATGTAGGTGAATGGGTGATGGGGAAATAGGCAATTCTGTTTTTTGAGCCATGGGAATGAAGAAAATGGAAATGGAAATAGATGAGAGCCTAACAGACTAGCGAAGTAAAAGAAAAGTTTGTGTGCATGGAGGTCGGGTGAGGGCAGTATGTTAAGTATGGTGTAGGTGAAAGAGAAATCACTGTGGAGGTAAGTGAGCTGCAACAATTTTTTTTTTTTTTTTTTGTAATGAGGTGACACTAAGGAGGGAGGGACGGACTGATGTATCTTGTCCCTGAGCAGGTCAGGAGCAGCTGTTGCTAAGGGCCCAAGAGGAGGATTAGCTGAGGAAAGGATATGTGAGCCACAGACTCTGAGATGGAAGCTGGGCAGGGTAAGATCCCTTTCATTTTGGCTCTGGTGCTCTTAGCATGGCAAGGGGGAGGCCATCCCATCCATGAAGCAGGAGTGGAGGTGAGGAATGGTATCCAGGGCTTAAACTGGAAAAGGTTGGAGTGGCTATCATGGGAAGTATCATAGGAACACAGCAAAGAAATCCTGGATCACAGAGTGGAGTTGATGTTCCCCTGCAGTTAGGCAAAATATATTATAGCAGACCCAGCTCTGGTTTTGTGTTAGCGAAAGCATTTTGTGTTAGCGAAAGACAAGGCCTGGGGTCAGGGGAGCAGCAGGACTCCATCAGAGTTGATAGGAGAAGTATTGATGGACAGAGAGGAAGCTGGGAATGCATAGCAGTGGGGGCATTAGAGAGCTTTGGGTGAGAAAGGTGCAGGAACTTTCAGAATCCGACTTTGGCCTGGGGCATTCTGACTGAGGACATGGCAGAGGATAGCAGTATGATTGGATGAAGTGGTGAGTAGAGATGACATCATTAAAATGAGGAGCGTAGGAAGTGTGAGGCCAGGTGTTAGGAAGCCATCACGGGTTGATGACAGATTGGAGCATGGAGAGTGGGACCATGAGGAAGACAGTGAAACCATCCCAAGAAAGTGAGGATTGCCTCCTTGGAATCAGGAGTAGCAGATGGTGACAGATTTCTGAACACTGTAGTGTTTAAAAATTGGTATTTTTTGGAGGATTAATGTGGCTGCTGTGTGCAGGGTTATCATAGAAGTCAGAGTGATGATAGCAAGAACATCATGAGCCTTTCTAAATAATCTTGATAGGCCCCAAAAAAGTATTTAAAATTATTTCTTAGAAGTGGAGACACAGAAATTGTTCTCCTATCCTGAAGTTTAAAAAAAAAGGTATAAGTATCATTTTATCTGAGAAATTACTGACTCCATATAAATTTTGTTATTCCCATACTGTGATTATGTTGCTGATCATTTTAAATTCTCATGTGTTAGGCTGGGTATGTGGCTCAAGTGGTAGTGTGCTTGACTAGCGTGTGTGAGGCACTGGGTTCAATTCTCAGCACCACATAAAAATAAAATAAAATAAAGATATTGTCTCCACCTAAAACTAAAAAATAAATATTTAAAAAAAAATTCTCATGTGAAGCTGATTTTGCTGCAGAGCATTTGTTAGTTTGTAGTTAAGCTGTTTTTCTGTAAATTTAAAACGAGAGACCTAATGCGCTTCATTTTTGTTTTGTAGAGTATAGTCAGTATAACGCGCTCAATGTTCCACTCCACAATAGGAGGCATCAGGTAAAAGACAAAGTTCTGTTTTTATTTCAGTCATATGTATGTTAAACTTTCCAGAAACAAGAATCAGTTCTTTGGCTTCTATTTAGTGTGCTAAACCATTGCTTTACTTTCTCATAGATTGCTTTAAATTGTGTAATTTTTTTTTTATTGAATTAATGAGTAATACAAATTTTTGATGTCTCTCTTATCTGGTAACATTAGAACTGAATAATGGGATACCTTAATTTTTGAACCATGCTTTTCTTAATGTTGTTGGACCTTGCACTTAAATAGCCAAGGTTAAATGGTTGGGGGTGTGTTTGCCAAAGACTGGTATCTTTCTAATTTACTTAGATAGGAATATTAAAATTCAAATAGGATCATATTAATAAGGAACCATCACAGTAGAATTCAAGGGTTTTCTCCAGAATAGGCTTAATAAAGTTGTTTTAGAATAATAATTGTTAGGTGACCTCAACTGAGTGCACTTTTCATTTTAAAGCTGAAGATGCGAGATATTGCTGGGCAGGCCCTGGCTTTTGTTCAAGATCTTGTGACAGCTCTTCTGAACTTTCACACCTATACAGAACAGAGGATTCAGATTTTTCCTGTTGATTCTGCCATAGACACTATATCACCATTGAATCAAAAGGTAAATTTAATTTAGAATGCTTTTTGTTGCCCTGAACATATTGAGAGAACAAATAGGGAGCTGTGTATTTTCAGACCACTTTCTGTGCATGAGCCAAGTACTGAGGAGGATGTGGAAAAAACCACAAGTCATTGTCTTTACTCTCAAGGCAACATATGGCAGAAATGGAGATTCTTAAGAATTGAAATACTAGGGGAGTTTTTGAAAGATCTCAGTGTGCGTGAATGAGGGATGTGGCCAATAAGGCATCTGATATCCTTAGCAAGGGAGATTGCCATGGGTAGTATCCTCTGGGAAAGATTCTTTAGGAATTTGAATGGACCTTAGAGAATGAACTGGATTCAAATAGGATAGAGAAGAGGGATGGATATTTTTTTCCCCCAGAAAGGGGAACTGCAGGAGCAAAATCAGGAAATAGGAAGGAGGAAGCGGAAATGAGGAGAAATGAACAAGTAGTCTTGGCCAGTGTTCATAGAGGGGAGGAACGGGAGGTAAGATCGAAAAGAGAAAAAGTAGAGAGGGCCTGGGGGGTCCCTGAGGGTAGACTAAGGCATAGACCTTCACTTTATTTATAGAATTGAAGCCTTGGCAACTTTTTGACTAGGGGTGACATATGAGAAATCCCATTCTATTATTGGAAAGATTAATTTGCTTGCATTTTTCTCTCTTCCTATTTGTGGTCCCTGTGTAACCTTCATCCTTGGTCATGTTCAAACACAAAAAACAAAAACAAAAAATCAAACTTGTGTGGTACATAGGTTTTTTTTCTTCCTCTTGGGATGAGGAACGGGAGTGAAACTGCTTATCCAGTTCAAACTGGAAGGCATTTTCAGGGTTTGTGAGGGTTTTTTTTTTTTAAATATTTTTTAATTGTTGACAGAACTTTATTTTATTCATTTATTTGTATGTGGTGCTGAGAATCAAACCCAGTGCTTCATACATGTGAGGCAACTGCTCTACTACTGAACCACAACCCTAGTCCAGGGTTTGTGAGTTTTTAACATGGAATAGGAAGAGGTTTGAATGTTGCTTCAGTCCATATATGCTTTTTTTTTTTTTCTTGCTTGATTTTGCTCCTTTCTTTCCTTTTTTCTCCCTAGCTAATTCCAAAATAGAATTTAGGCTTGCAAAATTTCATTTAACTGAAAAGGTAAAATAAATGTGAATGAGTGTATTTCTTATGTATTACTCTATAACAAATTGCCCCCAAATTTAGTAGTTTCAAACAACAAATACTTATTGTCTCACACTGTTGCTGTGGGTCAGAAATTTGGGAGCTAATTAGTTGGAAGGTCTCTGGCTTAAGATTTCTGATAAGGTTTCACTGGGGTTGCATTCATCGAAAGATCTGACTGGATTTGGAGGATTTATTTCTAAGGCGGTTCCCTCCCTCAGTGGTGTTGAATGTTGGCTGGAAGCCTGGTTCTCAGTAAATGCTCCTTTCCACAGGACTATTTGAGTGCCCTCATGAAACGGCAGCTAACTTACCCCAGAGAGAATGATCCAAGAGAGAGTGAAGTGGAGGCTACACTGCCTGTTATGACAGTGCCTTGGTAGCCACATACCATCACTTCTGCCACATTGTATTGGTCACACAAACTAACCCCCAAACAATGTGAGAAGGGTGGTATACAAGAATACATGGGGATCATTGGGGCCATATTTAAGGCCAGCTCTCACACAGGAAGGAAGTCGAGGGATCTTGATACTTTGAGGGCTCGATAATGTGGTGATCTGAAATGAATGCCACTCTTCCTACTGTATGTGATTCTTCTTCCCAATTCTCTTGCCCCGCCATGTATTATGTGGTATTTCCAGCAGTTGAGCAGTATTTGTATCTGTGAATACCCAAAGTGCCAATTAGTGTAGCAAAGACTTGGATCCTCGAGTTAGACTTCTTGGGGTCCCAGTCCATTCTGCCACTGTCCAGCTATGTCCCCTTGGGAGACTTATTTTCCCTCTCTGTGCTTCAGTTTCCTCATCTTTAAAGTGAAGGGATAGAGTACTTACCTCACAGTTGTGTGTGTCTGAAAAATTACATGAGATAATATGTGTAAAGTGCTAGGAAGAAAGTCTGGCATATAATGAGAACTCTGTGAAAGTTAGCTCTTATCAGCATCATTATGCCTTATACATATGAGCCTTCAGAAGGTGGTTTTCATCAATTTTGGTCTGACTCCATGAATCTACTGAAATTCATAAAATTAAATTTGGGTCTTTGAAATGATCTTTAAATATCACTATGGGAAACAACTTTTAAAAGACCTGCATAGGAAAAACAGTACTCTGTATTTTCATATAGAAAGTTATACTTTCTATAATACCAAAAAAAATTTTTACTTTATATTGGTTCTTTGCCTACTATTTTAGTGTGTTGCCATATTATATGCAGGGTGAGAATCAAATGTGTTGACCTTAGTTTCTCTGGGACACTTCATTATTTTGAAGAACTCATGTATTTCCTCAATATTCTCAAAGGTAAAATGTTGGTGTTTTAGCCTATGAAAGGCCCTTTATGATTTTTCTAATAAGTTTATAAAATTGAAAGAGATTCAGAAACCATTTGTTAAAAGATGACCAAAATATTTCAACTTGTTCGTAGAATCATAAAGTAGTCCTTGAGACCTGTAAGCTTAGAGTTCATCTTTTTTTTACAGCTATAAAGATTGAAGCCCAGAGAGATTGAGTGAGTTGCCCAGGACAAATACATCTGTATACTTTGCAGTGGGGTCAGTTGAATCATGTTTGTACAGAATGAGACCTTACATTTTTATACTGAGAAATTGAAATTGGAGCCATTATAGAATACTTATCTGAAATATTTTATAGCTAAAAGTTACCCTTTTGCTTCTAAATTAAAATAACTCTGGGAGTTTTCTTCTGATTTTTTTTTTTTTTTTTTTTTTTTGTGCCAGGGATTGAACCCAGGGTTGTGCATGCTGAACATATGCTCCATTCTGAGCTACAACCATAGCTCTTGAAATCTATTCTTCATAATGAATCAGTCCTTTTAAGCCATAATAAGATATCAGTGATCATTATAAAAATTTTTATGTCCTCTTTTTAATAATTACATTCCTGTTATTTGTTAACCCTGAATATCATATACAATAAAAATAATAAACTATTTTTAAAAAGCTTTATTTTTAAAAAATGAGACACATAGCACAAAATCTATGTCATATAGTATTGGTTTTCAGATCTTACTATTTTTTTTTTTTTTTTTTTTTTTATCCCTTTTCAAACTGGCAGCCCTGGGAGAGGAAAGTGTTTGAGGAATGCCACCTGTTGGTGCTGGGTTGTATTGCCCTGTCTTCTCTCCATTTCCTCCCATGCCTGGTTGTTTATTGTGTCACCCCTTTCTGTTTTCTCATTTTGGAATGGGATGAGGTTTGGGGGTAGTAGAGGTATTACCATCTGGGTAAAAGCCAAATTTCCCAGAAAACTTGAAAAAAAGCATTTAGGTTTACAATTCAGTGGGCTCATTTACAAATGTGCTGATGTTTGTTATTTTCCAGTAAATTAATTTACAGTTTCTTCCCTCTTTTTTTAGTTCTCACAATACCTGCATGAAAATGCGTCTTATGTCCGCCCCCTTGAGGAAGGAATGCTTCATTTATTTGAAAGTATTACTGAGGATACTGTGACTGTCCTGGTAATTTTCTTGCTTGTTTTACTTCTGGAAATGGGAACTCCATTTTATCCATTTGCACTTTTAACTTTGAGATTATTTTTTCTTTTCCAGGAGACAACTGTGAAATTGAAAACATTTTCAGAGCACCTAACGTCCTATATATGTTTCCTTAGGAAGATTCTTCCTTACCAATTAAAAAGGTACTTCTCCTGGAGGCCAGGGAACTGTGGGTGGAACCTTACTTGTGCTGAAATTAATGCAATAGTAACATGTGCCTCTTGTGATCTGCTGGACTTTTTTGCACTGCAGCTGATTTGGACTTTTGTTAAGAAGGAAAACCATGCTTGAGTAGCGTAAAATTGTATTTAAGAAAACTGAATTGTAGTTATCAGCTACATTTTTATTTTCATTAGTTTTGTACTGTGATTGCTCTTATAACCACATGATGTTATGAGAAATATTTTCAGTCATTGTGAATGGCACATTTATTGAAAGAAATGTTTCATGTTGGGAGTTTGATTATCCCTTTGCTGTAAACATCAAGAAGGGAGTTATAATAGTTAACTTCTACATTTGGATCTATTATCTTTTGGTATTTTTGAGATGGTATTCTCTTGTTTTTATTATTGATGATTATTTAAGTTCTAAATGAAAAACTTCACTCAAGCCCTCATAGGATGTGTCATTTAGGAACCTTTAATGGTCTACCTTAAATATTTCCGGGAAGGAAGAAAAAAATAATATATATAAGTGTGAATTTGATAATGCTGCTTGGAAATTTTTATCTTTTATGTAAAACTAATCTAAATTTTTGTCTAAAACCACCAAGATTTCTATTTCATCCTAAGGTTTAACTTTCTTTAAACAAATGTTTTTTAAAAAAGAAAGAAAAATAGTACTTGAACATAAAAGAGATAAGAATATACTTTTTCTTTTTTTTTTGGTACTGGGGATTGAACTCAGGGACACTCAACCACTTAGCCACATCCCCATCCTTATTTTGTATTTTATTTAGAGACAGGTCTCACTGAGTTGCTAAGCGCCTCACTCTTGCTGAGGCTAGCTTTGAACTGGCAATCTTCCTTATTTAGCCTCCCAAGCTGCTGTGATTACAGGTGTGTGCCTGGCTAGAATATACTTATTCTTAGCAAAATAAGGTTTAGAAAGTGTCGATTAATTACTTATAGATAATGAAAATATAACATTTTACTATTTAAAAAAAATTAACATATGTTAAGACATTTTATTTCTTAATTATAACCCAACAAAGTATTTCAGTAATTAAATTCTATGATGTGTTTGAGGGAATTTTAGGAATTAGGGGATTATAACTTAGATGAATAATTATGAATTATAATTTAATTCAGATCCTTACATGTTATATAGTTCATTACAGTTAAAATAGTTTTTGGAAATTAACTCTGGAAGTTTAACAATTAAAATCGAATATACCTTATTGATTTGGCTTGTGTTTAATAAGATTCTGTCTAAGAATCATTGCAAAAAAAAGAATCATTGCAAAATTATTATGTGAAGTAAACATTTTAATTTTATCTTACTATATTTTTTCATGATTACTTTTTTTTGGGGGGGGTACAGGGGTATTGAATGGGGTGGTGGTGATGGTTAACCACTGATCCACTCCCCAGCCCTTTTTATTTTTTATTTTGAGACAGGGTCTCGCTAAATTGCTTAGGTCCTTACTAACTTGCTGAGGCTGGCTTTGAACAATTTCGATCTTCCTGCCTCAGCCTCCTGAACTGCTGGGATTACAGGTGTGCACCACCTTGTTGATGGCAAAGTGTATTTTTATGCATGCTAAGTAAATTTGATTTTGAAACTACTACATATATTAAAAAAGGTTTCTTGGTGAGACTCTCAGCTAGTGGCAGTGACAGTAGTAATAGTTCTTGTTTAATTCTCTTTAGGAATTCAATATATGCAATGTTTTTTTTTTTCCTCCCTGTAAATAAAGGATTTAAAATATTTAACATTTAAAAAATTCTAAGGCTTTTATACTGCTTTCAGGTTGGAAAGATGATAGGCATATGCCTTGATATTTTCTTTAAAAATTTTTTTTTGATACTGGGAATTGAACCCAGGGGCTCTTAAGCACTAAACTACATCCTAATCCCTTTTTATTGGAGGCTGGCCTCAAACTTGTAGTCCTCCTGCCTTAGCCTCTTGAGTTGTTGGGATTTTTACAAGCATGTGCCACCATGCCCAGCTAGGTTTTCTTCTCTTTAGTCCTCTGTTACTCCATTGGCATTTGCACCAAGCAATTTTGTGTATCATGGTGCATGAAAAGGAGCCATGTAAACATAAGGTCAAATTTCTCTTTCTACCAAAATCTTTATTTGGATATGATCATTAAGAGAACTTAGATGATTTCTAATAGCTAATTGAAAGTTGTTCAGGATGCTCATTTTCAAAAAATCTGCCCGTTCCTAGTTTAGAAGAAGAATGTGAATCTTCTCTTTGCACATCTGCATTAAAAGCCAGAAATCTAGAGCTGTCTCAGGACATGAAAAAGATGACAGCTGTGTTTGAGAAGTTGCAGACTTATGTCACTCTTCTCGCCTTGCCAAGTAAGTGTGTTTATTACTTATGGTTCAAACTGAAGGACTTAAAAGCACAATAACCTGGAAAGGGGAGATGATTTAGCTTGATAGAATAAGAGGAGACTAGGATCTAGAGTTAGAAAAACTGGAATTCAAATCCTCTGGCCTCCTGGACAAAACATTTTACCTCTGTGTGCCTCTTGTGTTCCCATTTGTAAAATGGAGGTAATGTTTTGATTATTAAGAATGTAAAATATTAGGCATTAAAGCATACATTAAATATCATCCCCTTTTTGCTCTTCCTCTTTTTAATGGAGAAGAGCAAGTCATAAGAATTTGTAGCAGCTTTCCAACAAGTAGCACAGGGAAGTTTTAGTAGTAAAGATACCATTTGTTTCTCTTGGCCCTAATTTGAAAAAAGCATTTTTAGGTAATTTTAGTGAACTTTATTTTCAGTGATGTATTTCAGAATGCTATAATTTTCCTGGTAATCTGATTTTTTGTTTGTTTTTAAACAGCTTTCTTTCTGATATGTTATACATTTTACCCACTTAAAGTGTATAATTCAATAGTTTTTAGTATATTCACAGACGTATGCACCATGAGTAGGAATTTTTTGATAATTTTCATTACCTCTTTAGCTTTCACCCTTATATTTTCCAATTCCTCATTTCCCTAGCTCTAAGCAATTACTGATCTGCTTTCTGTCCATAGATTTGCCTAATCTAGATACTTCATACTAATGCAATCATAGTATGTGGTCTTCAATGGAATTATATAATATGTGGTCTTTTGTGATTGTTTTCTTTCACTTAGCGTAGTGTTTACAAGATTCATTCAAATTATAGCAGGCATTGGAACTTTATTCCTTTTTATTGCAGAATAACATTCCCTTGTATGATGTACATATTTTATTTACCCATTCATTAGGTAATGGACATTTGAGTTGCTTTGGCTATTATGAATAATGATGCAATAGACATTCATGTGTGAGTTTTATGTGGTCATATCTTTTCATTTTGTTTGGGTGTATGCTGATAGGATGGAATTGTATCATATGATAACTATGTTTAACTATTTAAGGAATTGCTAGACTGTTTTCCAAAGTGCTCTACCAACAATTTTTGCATTCCTACCAACAGTGTTTGAGAGTTCTGTTCTCCACATTCTCCCTAACACTTATTATTATCTTTTTGAGTTTAGCCATCCTAGTGGGTGTGAAGCAATAAGTCATCGTGGTTTTACTTTGTATTTCTGTGCTAATGATGTCAAGTATCTTTTCATGTGTTTATTGGTCATTTGTATGTTTTCTTTGGTGAAAGATCTATTTGGACCCTTTCCCTTTTGTAATTGGGTTGTCTTTTTACTATCGATTATAAGAGTTTTTAAAATATATATTCTAGATACAAGTTCTTTATTAAATGTATGATTTGCTACATTTGTCTTTTATTTTGTGAATTGTCTTTTCACTTTCCTGATAGTATCCTTTGAAGAGCAAAATTTTTTAATCTTGATGAAATCCTTATCTGATTTTTCTTTTGTTGCTCCTGGTTTTGATGTCATATATAAAAATTGATTGTCAAATCTGAGGTTATAAAGACTTATATTCTAAGAGTTTTATGGTTTTAGCTCTTGCATTTAGGTATCTGATCTATTTTGAGTTAATTTTTATATGTAATGCAAAGTAAAGATCCAGTTTCGTCTTTTGCATGTTGTGTCCAGTTGTCCCTCCTTCACTTGTTGAAAAGATAATCCTTTCCCTGTTAAATGGTCTTGGTATCTTTATTGAGAATCAGTTGACCATAGATGTATGGGTTTATTTCTGGATTCTTGATTCTATTTCATTGTTCCTTATATGTCTCCTATGCCAGTACCACACTGTCTTGATGGTTGTTACTTTGTAGTAGGTTTTTGAGATCAGGAAGTGTGAGTCCTCCTGTTTTGTTTTTCTTTTTCAAAATTGTTTTGTTTTGCAGGATCCCTGATAATTCCATGTGAATTTTAGTATTGGCTTGACAGTTTCTACAATAAAGTCAGCAAGGATTCTGATGGGAATTGCATTAAATTTATGGATCAATTTGGGGAGTGGGTTGACTTGTATCCTCAAAAAAGATATGTGACATTCTAACCCCAAGTATGTATGTGTATGACTTTATTTGGAAATAGGGTTTATAGGTGTAATCAAATAAGGTAAGGTAATACTGAAAGAGCCCAAATACAATGACTGGCATCCTTATAAGGGAAAGGAGATTTGGAGACAGAGACCTAAGGGAGAATGATGCATAAAGACAGAGGAGGGATCGTGGTTGCCCTACTACCAGCTAAAGAACACCTGGGGTCTGTGGAACCTGGAAGAGGCAAGAAAGCATTCTCCTAGAAGTTGTTGGTAATAGCGTGGCCCTGCCAGCATTTTAAGTTTGGACTTCTGGCCTCCAGAACTTTGAGAAAATAGATGTCTCTTGTTTTAAGTCACCCATTTGTGGTATTTTGTAACAGTAGTCCTAGAAAACTTACAGGGAATATTGCCATCTTAACAGCATTAAGTCTTGTGATCCATGGACATGGCATGTTTTTCCATTTATATATATCTTCTTTAATTTCTTTAAACACCACTTTCTTGTTTTTAGAGCATAAGTTTTATACCTGGATGCTGCTTCTCAGAGGGTTCAGCCTTGCACATGCACACTGTCATCTGGGATGACAGTGGTTTTGGCAGGGCTCTCCTTTGCTGTCTCCTTCCTAATTATACCCTGGCTGATTACTCTTGTGTTTCCAGAATGCCTTGGGGCACAAATTGATAACAGGATGATCCAATTAAATTTGGTCTTAAAGTTATGTGTGTAGTTATAGACCTAGCATATAACTAGCAGGTAGAGGTTTTGAGGTCAATGTTTGAAATTTGTTCTGATCCCAGGAGGGCTTTTCTTGATACTTCTTTTCTAGTTTTCTCTGGTAAGCCAGCCTACAGTTTAGCTTCAATTTCTAGTGAACCTACAAGTTGCCCCTGTGCTTTTACCACAGGCTCCAGTTTTTGAGAGCCTTAGGCTTGAACTTCTCCACATACTGTCAGCTCCTTTGAAAAGAGGTTCAGAGCTCTTATTTTCAGGACTGCTTCTCCCCAAGGCAAAAGTCTCTGAGCCATGGTTCTGGTGCTGGGGACAGTGGGGACAGCACTTCTCTCTGAGAGCTTGGTGGAAGTGGTAGAGCAGCAAACCAGGACTCCTTGGCCTGCCATTAAGTCTTCATGGATCAGAAGACTTAATATTATTAAGATGGAACTTTGAAAATCCTGTTGCTGAGCAGGGGCAAGGGTGATGAGAGACCCAATTCTCAGTGCCGTGTTCAGCTGGAATCTTCATCTCTGGAGCAGGGGCTGGGCAGAAAGGGAACACTTCTCACCTCTTGGCTGCATTTGTCCAGAATTTAGCCTTAGCAACAGGTAGCTGGGGACACGATGAGTTCTCCGGCCCCTGAGCCAGGAGTTAGAAGAATTGGAGTGCTGTGTGCTTGGCTGAACTTGAGGTTGAGATGGTGTATCTTAACTTCCAGGAGCTGGTAAGGGAAGGGAAGCAATATGCCTTGTTTTAAATACCACAGACTCTTGCTGTTCTTGCTGAGTTGTTACAAATTTTCATGAGTAAGTGTTTCTTCATTTGTTATGTGTCCTTAGAACCATTTCCTGAAACTTTGAATGGTTGCTTTTTTGTAGTCATCACCAGTTTTGTGGGGAGCAGATCCAGAGAGCCCCCCATGCTGTTATGCCAGAAGTAGAACTCCATGATGTTTGAATAATAATGTTTTAGTGATATTCATCAAAAAATAATGTGTGGGGAATAAAAAAAAGCAAGAATCTTGTTATGTAGTAACAAGACGAAAATTCACAGACTCTTAAGACATATTCCTGCTTAGCAGATTTAATTTTTGGTTCTTAACTAGTAAAAATGTTTGTGGACATGAGAAATCCAAACCAGTTAAAATGTTCCTGTGTTTTATTTATCACCATTATGTATGAACATGTCTGTTAAGGTTTTTAAGGACCATTGTTTCCAACATATTACAGGCAATCTTTACACTGTATCTTCTTCCAAATAGAGGGAGATGGTGGACAGGAAAATGCTTAAGTTTGTGATTTTGGTTTTCTAGGTACAGAACCAGATGGACTCCTTCGGACAAACTATAGTTCTGTCTTAACAAATGTTGGTGTTGCTCTGCATGGATTTCATGATGTCATGAAAGGTAAGCCTTGAAAAAGAACTTAAATAAGCTTAAAACCTTCATCCCACTTCTCAGATCTGTCTGAATGAGATTTAAACAAATACTGCCAAGGGTTAGAGATCCTAGATAAAAGGCTTAGCAGCATTTGGCTTACATAAAAGTGCACAGCTATTCTGCCTTCTGCTTTTCCCATCTGCTTGGTTTCTGAAGGTAAACAAAGTGCTGAATAGAAAACCCTGTGCACTGTACATTAGCCAGAAAGACATTACCCCTACTAAATGCAGGTAGATGGATTTTACCAAACAAGACATGCTATTTCAGAGGCATTTAACAAAGTATTTTACACTTGTTAGAGCCCAAGCATGAAAGAATTGAAAAAACTAAGGTTAAAGTTCAAAAAAGAATACATCTGTGCATTTTGATGTTTAAAATGCCTAATTCCTGTCTCATTCAGCATAGCTTTAAGAAATGAAGATGTTTTTAAACCTTGGTCAATTTATTTCTTTTGTGCTTTTAAGAATATACTATGTTGGTAGGCAGAGTGTGACTTTTTAAAGTATTTCATATGAATCTTTGTATGTGATTCTGAACCTTGACCAATCAGTAGTTCTGTGTTGCTTCTAGATTTCTCTACTCCTTTCTTTTCCTTTTAGAAACTTGGGGTCGGGGAAGGAGAACAGGCAGGAGGGATTATTAAGTACTATTAGAAGTAACCCAGGTGCCCAAATGATTTATTGTGATGTTTAGTTAACAATTAGTAACTCCTTTCACAAACAGTAATTTTAAAAACTTAAAGCTATTGTATATAACATGTGTAAGAGGGGTATGCTTGGTACCCTCTTACAGATTGTTAAACATCTATGGCACTGAGATTCATTCTTCATCCCAGCAGCATTACCAAGCAGCATTTTGCCATCGTCTGGAGAATGGGACTTCCTTGGGAACTTTAAAAGTCAGTGTATCTCTAGAGGTATCCCTGGTTTCAGGAATCATTGCTTGATTGATCATTGGTAGTTTCAGTGGCACTTCACAGTAGTCAATCCCAAACCTGCAGAACTTAATCTGATCTGTAGAAAACATAATAAACAGGTACTGTTTTTTCCTATGCAACTTGTGGTTTGAGGAGCTGGGACTTAGCTTTAGTAGGTCATTCCAGAACTTTTTTTTTTGGTACCCTGGTTTGAACCCAGGATTGAATAACCAATGAGTGCCACATCCCCAGCCTGTTTTTTTTTTTTTTTTTTTTAATGTTTTATTTTGAGACAGGTTATCACTAAGTCTTTAGGGCCTCATTAAGTTGCTGAAGCTGGCTTTGAATTCACGATCCCCCTGCTTCAGCCTCCTGAATTAGTGGGATTACAGGCGTGCACCATTGTGCTTGGCTCCAGAACTTTTCTTTAAACAGAGTTCTAGGCCTTTGAAACCGCAAGTACCTCTATGACTCCAGGTTTCTTGGTTTTTAAATTTCCAAAGGAATATTATTATTTGTTCCTGCTAGCAGTTTCTTCAGAATTTCTAAACAGGAGATACTAGAGCAGTGGATGATAGCTACCTAATTGAAAGGGATCTTAACATTTCATTTACATAAAAAAATTTTGATTTTTCTTATATTGCTATTTTAATTTATCAACCAACAAAGTTCTCTAATACTTTTGTTCATACCTTATATAAGATAGAGAAGATGCCAAGTATCAAAGTGTGCTACTATTATTGTTTGGTGTGAGCTGATGGAAAATATGGGATGGTCAGAAACCTCCTTATTCCTTTATGTCACCATGTGTTTCTTTCCATGAAGATGAATAAATATAAAGAAAGAATGTTGGAAAACTTTAAGAATGTTGACAAGTAGGTTTAGAGCCATGTTGCTAGATTTACAGTTCAAATATGTTTTCATATCTAGCTTGGAAGACTGTTGCATATCTTTCATGAAATCTGAGAGCATTAACAGAAGAATCTTTGTTTTTAAGAGAACTCTTATTTCAAACTTCTGCCCTTCCTGCTTTCCCCCAAATTATTGCTTAATCAAATTTGGAAGTAAGAGGGGAAGATGAGGAGGTAGGTTAGTAGATTGTTCTCAGTGTAAAAACAAAGATAGGGAGGGAGTTATAAAAGTGTTTATCTTATATAGAATTAAAATGGGAATAAACTAATTTTTTTTCATAAAATAAGCAATTTACTCATAAATGATTCATTTATTCATAAAATAAATCAATTTTCACAATTTTTATTACCAATCAAAAATGTTTTCACCACAAAGAATTATAGGAACTAGTTTTTAACAAGTGGCATTCTATATGAGAATGATTTGATTTTTGGTCTCAGAGACATCCAAAGCAAGTAGATTCATAGAAAACATAAGAGGAAAAAATAAATACATGGTCTTGGTCATGTGATTCCTTTGTACTTTTTGGAGCTAAAATATTTGGATCAAACAATGAGTAAACAATTGGGTTGGGAGAATTATAGTCAAACTCCAATAGCATTGTTTAGTATTGTACCTCTTTCATAAGTATCTCAAATTATCTATAACTATAAAGGTCTAATAAAAAAATAGTACCTCAATTACCTATTAACAAACCAAGATTGCCTGCTAACCAACTTGTATTATAACATTGTATACTTCCAGAAAAATATTGAATAAAACTGTGTGTAGCAAGAAAATGTCTGTTTAGGTGTTAGCATATTCAGTATACAAATAAATTTCACTATTTTAACTGAATTTTTATATACTTGGAAACCTTACAAAATATATAGAGATTATCATTTATTTAAAAAAATATGGACTGGGGTTGTAGCTCAGTGGTAGAGCGCTTGCCTAGCATGTTGAGGCTCTGGGTTTGATTCTCAGCACCATGTATAAATAAATAAAGGTCCATTGACAACTAAAAAAGTATTTTAAAAATATATTTATTGAACATAATAGTAATGTACCTATTGGTTAGTTCCCTTACTGTAACAACTTTCATGTAGTAAATAAGATGTTAATAAGAAGGAAAACTGACTGAAATGTATACAGAGACTATTAAGAAATTTTCTCAAAACTGAGACTATACTAAATTAAAGATGTATACAGGTATGTAGACTGTATAAATAATATGTATTTATTAACTAAACAGTTCCTTAGTTTTAAAATTTTAGTGAAAATAATCTTTCATAGAATATAGTAATTTGGTATGAAAATATGAAAGTATTAGGTTAAATCTTTTATACTATTTCTTTCCAAATAGTCTTATTTCTTCTTTTAATTATGCATAATGTAAAATCAACTAAATTTCTTGATTTTGAATAAATGAAATTCTTTGCGTACATAATTTCTATAACAGCAAATTTTCATGTTTCATGGTTTATTTTTATCTTTGAGGTAATGATAGTTAGTGTTCTTTGAAGTAGTCTAAGAAATTCAGTGAAAACTGTATTGTAAATATTTATTACTTAAAAGTGTAATCACCCTTCACTATAAATCAATGTTGTCATAATAATCCTCCCGTTTTCCCTTATTTCCAGGGCAAAATCATTATATATTTCAGAGACCCAGAAAAACTCCAAAACTTAGCTCTTTGACTAGTCTCACTGCAATTTCTCTTAGCCCTTTTCTGTGCTTTTTAGCCACAGACCTTTGTTGTAATATTATTGGACTGGAAGTAATAGCACATGAAGCAGACATTGAAGTATCCAATCCTTATTTGGCTGTGCAGACATTTCTTATTGCTAGTGTGTGTATCAGCAAATTACCTAAGGTCCAGTATGGATTGTGGGACATCATGTCTATGTTGGCTGTTCTAGCCTCAGGGTTGCTTATATAATTATAAGATAATTTCTTGTTAGTGCCTGTTAGACTGTCAAAACAGTGGTTTCTAAGTGGTAAATCCTGGTCAGGATCATTTGCCTAATGCTAGAATAAGGGCTAGTCCTCACATGATTAACAATCAGACTGATCGGCTGGTGGCTATAGTCAAGACAGCCAAGGTAGTGTTAAGAAATACTTATTTCTCCCTTCTTTCTCCTGAATTTGTGGCCTACTTGATAATATTCAGCACAATCGTGATACTTGGGACCATTCTTTGTCAAATTTACTTTATAAATTTGTAAGAGTAGTGAGTGGGCTGATTATCTATATGTGAACTTGTGTATAGATAGTAATGAGTTTTCATTTGATTGCTTTTATAGATATTTCTAAACATTATAGTCAAAAAGCTACAATAGAGCATGAACTTCCAACAGCAACACAGAAGCTGATAACAACGAATGATTGTATCCTGTCATCTGTAGTGGCATTAACAAATGGAGCAGGAAAGGTAATTATTTTCTGGCTTATGTTGACAATTCTAAATTTTTTTTTTTTTTTGGTAAAATATAGTTGTTCCTTTTTCCTCCTTCCTCCCCCATATTTATTTATTTTTATTTAAAAACATTTTCAGCTTTCTTCAGGTTGAATTATCTACTCAATGTTTAAAACAATATGGCAGTGATTGTTTGGTATTTGTGGTGAGTGAGTAGATCACTCACTGGTCATGTCAATGCAAGGTTGAATGATTTGAAGATTCTGCATAGTCTCAATATCTCAATATAGATTCTTCAGGAGTCTGTTACATAAAGCAATGGAAACATTCAGAGAAAGCAAAAAAATCACCCAATACAACCTTTGTTAATATTTTGGCTTTTTTTTTTTTTTCCCCTCATACTACACCCACCCCTTGATACTAGGTATTTAACCAAGAGTGCTTTACCAGTGAGCCCCAGCTCAAGCCCATTTTATTTTTTATTTTGAGACAGGGTCTTGCTAAGTTGATTAGAGCCTCGCTTCTCTCATAGTATTTTGGTAACAGTTGTGACAGTGGTGCTTTTGTATCTTAACAATTCCTTTGAAGCAGCTTCAATATGTATCTTTCATTGAACCCTTAATATTAGGTTATGATTGTTTGTGTCATTAAGTACTTAATTATTACTATAAATTGCAGTTTCTTTAAAAATCTTATGATTGTGGATATTGTAATTTCATCAGAATTCATATTTTCAGAGTCATGCTGTTCATCGATATCTTTGATAAGATGTCTTGGAGTAAGGCACCTGACCAGCATGGGCAGCTGAACTAAGGTCGCTTGTGTGAATTTGTGGTGGAGCAAATTAAAACATAGACACAATTTACCTTTACATAAGCTTCAGGACGGCTTCCCCAGGCTCTCGGCCTTAGGCTCCCCAAAAGGGAGAGCAAGAGAAAGTCATGAGAGGCTGATGAGAGACAGAGAGAGAGCACATTTGGAACTCAGCTTTTATTGTGGGGGGAACTGTTCTTAGAAAGTTTTATCCATAAAAGGGCAGAAGGGGTAGGATTACAAGGGAGCAGGTGAATATAACAACCTCAGGGGTACGCCTACACCTGATGACCTGCCTTGCTATCCGAGCTGGTTCAATGCCCAAGTCACCATGAATATAGAGATTGGTCAGAGCCTCCTGCTTCAGGACTTGAAGTTGTAGTCATTCAGAGTGGCTCCCCACATTGGAGACCTTACCATGTATATAAAACCAAAAGACTATTCAGAACTAACTTAGCCCATTTATTTCAGCAGCTCAACATAATTTCTAAAGGAAGTTCTCATCTCTATATCTATATTTATACATCATTGTTTTTTCTGATGGGTTGATCCTAATAATAAGAGATTTTTCTTGAAGTGGTTTAAATCAATCCAAAATGATTGTAGGTCATGTTAGATATTCAGTGTCACTTTTCCTGAATTTTGACTGATCTTTGTGACCATTTGTTGTAGCTTAGGGCCATAATTAAGAAGTGTTATCTTTAGGTTCAGTCAATTCACATATTTGTGCCTACCGGATTCCTGAGCCATAGAACCATCCCCACTGCTTTCTTTTATCTCCTTCATTTACAGCATGCCAGAAGCTTACTGAGGACAACTTTGATTGAATTAAAAATTCTGGAAAAAGTTGATATTTTATAGGCATCTCTGCATTTGTTGTCTTTTATAAAAACACTGAAATATTAAATACCTGCATATTTCACAGTTTATTTTAGCTTTGCTCTTCCTGAAACCTTAAAATGTTATTTCAGGCAAAGGTATGTATCTGATCTTTGCTCTGGAGTTTTTATAAATGTTTTTTAACCATTACTATTTGAACTGGTGTTTGTTGGTGGAATCCTAATAATAAGCAAATATTATTTGATTAAACTAAATTTTATAGTTTGTAATAATAAACACAACAGGAAGGGATAGCATATATATATTAAAGGAAGTTTGAAAAATGGAAAAATATTAGAAGAAAGAAAATTTATCTCACAGTATACTAACATGACTTAAAATTAGGTGTTGGGTGTGTCCCTGCATTCATAGGGAATATAGCTCAAGATTTTTGGAGGCTGGGGGTGTAGCTCAGTGGTAGAGCACTTGCCTGGTGTGTGTGAGGCAGTGGGTTTGATCCTCAGGATCACATAAAAATGAATAAGATGAAGGTATTATGTCCATCTACAACTAAAAATATTCTTGAAATACCCATTTATTTGACATAATAAAATATTATTATATATACCCTCAGACAATAGTGATTAATTGCTTAATTTTAGAGTAGGTTTTTTGGTAGGGAGGTGGTTATTGGAGATTGAACTCGGGGGCATTCAACCTTGAGCCACATCCCCAGCCCTATTTGTATTTTTTTAGAGACAGGATCTCACTGAGTTGCTAAGTGCCTCACGGATGGTGAGACTGGCTTTGAACTCATGATATTCCTGCCTTACCCTCCTGTACCCCTGGAATTCCAAGTGTGAGTCACCATGCCTGGCTTAGAGTAGTTTTTAACCAAGGTAATGTACTCTACTCACAAGCCATTTTTTTCAGATTTATCAAGATAGGGTATTCTTTAATGTCTCCAAGACTGATTTTTCTGGCTAGGACAGTTAGCCAGATGTTTTTATTTGTAATACATTTCATACAGCACTGTAAATTCAAATCATGGCTCAGCAAAATTAAAGTTATGGCTCTTTGTGGCTGTTTGTATAGATTTAACAATTTGTTGAATCTGTAAATGACAAGAATCTATTGGATTTTTACTCTTTCTTCTTTTATAATTTACAAATTGAGATTTACAAACTAAATTTAGGTAGAGATTACATATTCAAGGTACTGTCTTCTGTAAGAATGTGAAATATTTAGTTAAAATGCAAATGAAATGAATAAACCCAAATGTGGATATTTTGAAATCAGTGTAGGAATTACTAAAATAAACAGCTCATAAAAGTCACCTACAGAATACATCAGAATGAGTCTTGGTTTTCAATAAGAATAGAAATTGTCTAGAATAGGACATGTCAGAAGTCAGTTCTGAGTATTTGTAGCTATATTCTCTTTATTATCTATCATTGTCCAGGAATTGTTCTCACATAAATAAATATGGGCTGCCGGGCAGGTTTTGGAATTTCATTTCCATTCTCAGCATCTTTAAACTGCTCTGAAAGCTATTAGTTGTAAATTCTAGATTATTGTTGGAAAACAAAATTTATCTTCTTGTCACACTTTGTTTAGATTGCATCTTTCTTCAGCAACAATGTGGACTACTTCATTGCTTCACTGAGCTACGGGCCTAAGGCGTCAAGTGGATTCATTAGTCCTCTTTCAGCAGAATGTATGCTACAGTACAAGAAAAAAGCTGCTGCCTATATGAAGGCTTTGAGAAAGGTTTGTGAGCTGCTTTTAACATTTAAATGAAGAAAAATATTAGGAATCATTCCAGAGAATGGTAGTAGATTTTTTCCACAGTCCATATTATTTAGATTTTTTTTTTTTTGTACTGGAAATTTAACCAGGGGTGCCTGATGCTGGCCTCCTGCCACAGCCTCCCGAGTTGCTGAAATTATAGGCATGCACCACTACACCTGTCTATATTATTTAGATTTTACAAAATTTTGGGGTATAGGTGGTTGGTGGTGATAGAATGGATCTTTGGGGAAGAGAAGGTGGCAGAGACCCAAACCATACTTGGTAAGCACAGGTCATGTTGGACTTGTGTCCCTAGTGCCAGGTAGAATGCCTGGGGTGAGGTAACCTGGCAAGCAATAAATACCAGATGTCAAAAGTCTATCTTAAACTTGTAGAATCAGAAAAAAAATTAAATGTTCATAATTTTTTCTAAGTAGTGATGATACATTGTCATTTCAAAAAAAAAAAAAAAAAAATTGGAAGATATAGTATTATGTTAAGAAGAAAATTATGATCTCCCCAAATCCACCACACAAATGTAGCTACTCTTCACTTTGTTAGACTATACCTCTGTGTAAAAAAAAATTAACATGGATGCACACATGGATGTATGTACCCACACGTGCTATAAACAGCAAAATGTATCTAGCTGCATCTGCTATTTTAGAATTTTTTTCTCTTACTGTATTGTGAATATGTTCATATGTACATCAAAAATACATATCTATAATGTAAATTACTATCATCATTTTAACACCTGTGTAATATTTCAGTCATAAATGTAATAATTTGACCATTCTATTGCATATGAATATGTAGGTCATAGCCTATTTTTCACTGTTATATGCAGTGCTGCAATGGGTTCTTGTATATGCAACTTTGCATTTATTTTTTTCTGTGATTCTTTAAAATTTTTATTTTCCTTTTATTTTAAAAAAATTTTTAATACAGTGCTGGGGGTTGAACCCAGTTTCTTGCCATGGTAGGCAAGTGCTGGACCACTGAACTGTCTTTAATATTTAATTACAAAATAGACAAATACATTCTTATTTTAAATTAGAACATTACAGGTAATATCCCTAATTCCAGTTTCTATCCAGAGGCACCTATATATATATCAGTTTGGTGTGTAACAATATATAGAATTCTTTCTTTTTATTAGTTCCTTCTTTTTTAAACATAATGCAAGATTTGTTGTGCATTTAAAATATATTTTAGCCATTTATGACATTATATGTGACGCCTGCTACATTCCTTTTGAATACAGTATAGAATTTTATAAGATGAATATTCCATGGTTCATTAAGTTTCCCTTAATTGGCAGGCATTAAGGTTGATTCTAATTATTTTTATTGTCTCAGTAATACTGCATTACTGAGCCAGCCTTGTAAGTATCTACTTGGACACGTGTGGAATACTGAGAAGTAGAATGTTTTGAGCCTTGTGGTTTGCACATTTTAAGTTTTAATGGTTACTGCTAAATTTCCCTTCAGTGTCAATACTCTGTATAATGTATAACTCAACCTATCTCCCCATATTTATCTAATTGTTTTAGTTATATCTTTATGATTGATTCTCCAAAATGGAATTGCTGATTGAAAGTTTGTTAATGTTTCAAATTTTGGCATGTTTCTTAGACTATACTTCAGGAAAGTTATTTATTTACAGCTTATAGTCATGTGAATTTAACCCATAAAATTAATATTTGTCAATCTCAGAGGAAGGGTTTCTTACTGTTATTTTGATTTGTGTATCTTTGGTTATTTATGAAGTTGAATGTCCTCTCATAATTGTCATTTGTATTTATTCTGTAAATTCTCTGTCCAAGCTTTTTACACATTTAAAAAAATATTTTTCTAACTAAGGTTGAAAGAACTTCTTATATGTTAAGAATTTGGGTTGAGAAGTCTGTAGCCCAGTAGAAGAACACATGCTTTACATGCTAGTGCAAGGCCCTGCTTTCAACTCCCAGTACCACCCTCCACCAAAATAAATAAATAAAATAAATAAAGTTAATATCAGATCTTTTTGGTGGTCTTTCTCAGCTAGGGTACTTTGCAAAAGTTATGGAATTATTCTCCCAATTTTTTTGTCATCTAAATTTTTAGATCTTTCATCTAGAATTTATTCTGGTACAAGATGTGACAAAGATCTTGGTTCTTTTTCTAGATAATTACATGGTGTCCTTGCACCATTTATGTAGTTCTTTATCCATTGAACTAGAAATGTAGTGTTTGTCACATAGTAGATTTTTATGTATGCTTTTGTCTGTCTCTGGATTTTCTGTTCTGTTGTTGATCTCTATTTTGGTGCAAGTCCATATAGTGTAAGTTAGTGTATCTTATAGTTGGTATAATAAGTTCTCTTTCATTATTGTCTTTTTAAAATACAAATATATTCTTTCACATGCATTGAAGGAAATAATCTATGTTGTTGTACATCTGAACTTATTATCATACCCTATTATCCAGCATTCTTATTTGTGCATGTAGGATCCAGGGGGAAGATGATGCAATATTTTTCTTTCAATTCTTATTTATTTATTAATTCTATGGTGCTTTTCACATAGCCCCTGTTGGAGTCTGTGCCTTATGAGGAAGCACTGGCAAACCGCCGGGTCCTTCTCAGCTCTACTGAAAGTCGAGAAGGCCTTGCACAACAGGTATGGCACCCGGAAAATGATGGAAATTGTTAAAGAGCAGAAATGCTAGATCCTCTGGAGAAGGTTTTTAAGGCATATAGGGTGCTGACTGATTCAAAAAAACTACATTAGTAAACATAATCTATAAAGTTTTCTATACATGCTAAAAAGGGCCATAGGTATAATTTGTTGAATAATCTGTTGATATTCTAAAAAAGTCTTCTTAGTTCAGTTGGTGTTTCATTTGGCACTAGAATGATATTAACATACTTTGGCCATGATGATTAATTCTTAAGGTGCTAGATTTAAATGTCTGAAACACTAAGGTATCAATGGGGTGGGGGGGCCTGGAGACTCAGTAGATTATTTTCATTTCTTCACTGAACAAGAATGGGAAATTTCTAGTATATAGTTGGTCAGTTGAATTTGGGGGCAAGTGAGAATGGGAGGTACTATCTCTTTCAGAAACTGGTACAAACTGAAATCAGTATAGCTATTTTCAAAGATTTATTCACTTCAGCGGCTGGCTTTTAGTTCTGGAAAAACTTGGTTTTAAAGAGAGTCAAATAAATTTACCAAGACAACATTTTGTGAGTCCTGACCTTACTTTAATAAGAAACACATATCCACTTATCGTTTCAACATTAATGTGTTAAGGTATTAGGACTAAAAATTTCATCCACAAAGTGATTTTTAATAAACAAAGTTTCCGTGGCTGTAAAACCAATGTGATACTGCAGTCTGTACACGTGGGAAAAAAAAGAATTCATACCCCACTTGAGTCAAATGTATGATATGTCAAGATCATTGTAATGTTTTGAGCAGCTAATTAAAAAAAATAAAAAATAATAATAAAAAACAAAGTTCCTCAGACACTGTAAAATGTAGAATACCTTAAAAATTAATTTTGGGTTTTTTTCTTTTTTTAATGTAAGGAAAGTAAGGCTCAAAAGAAATTAAGTAAATATTAACCAGAATAGCTATATGAAAGTGGCAGAACTGCCTCACCTCAGAGCTCATGTTTTTCCCACTGTACCTTCGACCAGCTATGGACTGGTCTGACAAGCACTCTAGTCTTCCCTTCTTGCCTCTCTAAAGTGAGGAGAACACGTGCCTTTTAGGGTCTTGTAAGCATGCTTTGATCCAGTGGGAGGCAGTGTGATATAGGAAAAAGAAGTCAACTTCTCAAATAGGCATACGGGGGCCCCAAATTCTGGCTCTTCCTTTTCTAGCCTAGCAGATGGTCTAACTGCTGGGAGCATTAGTTCTCCTCTTTGATAAATCAGAATTGTTGGGCTGTTGAAGGCTTCAGTGGGACAAGAGGAAGAAAGTACCACAAATGGTGCCTGGTACATGGAAATTGCTCAATTGTGATAGTTGGTAAAGCATGTGTATTCACTATAAGATCACTATTTTTTTAGATAATTCTCAAGTTTTTATTTGCCCTAACAGGTATGTCTTAGCTTCTTATTATAATATAACATACTTAGAGAAAAATATACAAATTGCTAGTGCACATCCCAGTGAATTTTTATAAGTTAAATACACTGCACCTAGATTTAAAAGTGGTGTGTGTGTGTGAGAGAGAGAGAGATTTCTCTGTGTAAGGTATGCCTTGGAAAAAATAATCAGAATTCCTGAAGCCTTACTCATGCCCTTTTCTAGTTACTACTCTCCTCTCCCCCAAAGAAAATAATCATCCTGCATTCTAATACCATAGATTGGTTTTATTGCATGATATGGAACTATTTATTAAATGATTTTATACTGTATGTACTCTTTCAGTCCTGACTTTTTTCATTTAGCATTATATGAATGAAAGTTCAAATTGTTCTACAAATACTTTTGTATTTTCTGTCTTTTGCATTGTAGTCAAATAGATGGTTTAAATTACTTTTTCTTGATAATTAGTGATATTGAGCACCTTCTTCTATGTTTATAGTCTTGATCCAGTGCCTGTCCAAGTCTTTTGTTGTTGGTGGTATTATTTTTGCCTTTTTCACTATTAGTTATCTATCTTTTTCTTATTGATTAGTAAGAATTCTTCATATGTTCTGGTATTATATAAAATATATCTGTTGGATAAAGAATTTTTTATATGTTCTGGGTTAAACGTTTACACATTCTTCTATTCTTTGGCTTTCCTTTCACTCTCTAGATGAAGTCTTTTGATGAATAGAGATCTTTTTTTATTGTGTGTCAATTCTGTTTCTCATTTTATGGTTGTGCTTTTTGTATCCTATTTAATAAATCTCTCCCCATTCCAGTGTCAGATTTTATTTTTTTTAACCTCTGTGAGGGAGTTTTGCTTTATATTGTGTATTTTATTTATTTATTTTTGCCACTAAGTTTTGTCTGCATTATTCTCTAAGATGCAAAACTCTGTGTGACTTTTCAAGGTTCAACAGAGTTTGGAAAAGATTTCTAAACTGGAACAGGAAAAAGAACATTGGATGTTGGAAGCACAGTTAGCCAAAATCAAGCTAGAGAAAGAAAACCAACGGATCGCAGATAAGCTGAAGAGTACAGGTAGCGGCCAGTTTGTTGGGCTGGCCCAAGAAAATGCTGCCATGTTGAATGCTACTGGCCAAGGTGAAGCTGTAGCCAAGGCTGTGTTGGAGCCTGTTCAGAGCACCAGTCTGGTAAGTGTCTTTGTGGTTGCCTGCTTAAATGCTAGTTGGTATCTGTTTATCCTTGGGTTTAAAACCATTGTCTTGGTTCACTCCAGTTGCTACAACAAAATAACATAAGCAGGGTGCTATAAACAATAGTTTATTTCTCACAGTCCTTGAGGCTGGGAATTCCCAAGATCAAGGCACCCACAGATTTGATATCTGGTGGGTGTGTTCCCTAGTTCATATGTGATCATCTGTTACTGTGTTCTCACATGGTGGAGGGCAAACAGGTTGTCTGAGTCTCTTTTGCAAGGGTACTAATTCCATCAGGTCACCTCCCAAGGTTTGTATCTGTTAATATCATCACCTCAGGGCTTAGGATTTCAACATAAGAATTTTGGGGAGACACAAACATTCAGACTATCACAACTATCTAAATTACATGTCATTCTATAACAGGAATGATACATATGCTATAGGAAAAAAATGCAGGTTAATAAGCAGGATGCCTCCTTGATAAGGCAACTCCACTAAATTCCTTGTGATTTTACATGAGCCCTTATGATGAGAACTGTGTTCCTGAAAGAGATAAAGGAAGTCAAATTTAAGATGATTTTGTTTTTCCATAAAAACACTTGAAATATGTGATTATGTTTCTAAGGACCAAATGCCTAACTATTTTAATAGAAATGACCACTAATACAATTTTTAACCAATTACATGGTACACCTAAGAGTATAAAGCTCTGTAACATACATATAACATAGAAACCCATCAGGCTAATTCTTTTAAGGCAGTACGTTGGCAAACTATCTTACAACTTTATATTTCTGGCCTTTTTTATTTTTTAATTTGTTTTAATTAATTATACATGACAGTATAATGATCTTGACATATCATACATATGAATCAGATGGAGTATAATTTCTCATTTTTCTGAGTGTACATGTTGCAGAATCACATTGGTCATGCATATATACATACAGCAATAATAATGTCTATTTTATTCTGATGTCCTTCCTTTCCCACTTTCCCCTCCCATCCCATCACTTCTCTCTACCCAATCTAATGTGACATCCTCCTTCTTTTTTTTTTCTTTTTCCTCACTTCGTCATACATGTATTCTGTATAATGATGAGGATCTCCTTCCATCTTCTGTGCAATTCCCCTTCTCCCTCCCTTTCCCTCCCACCTCTCTTCCCTATCTAGAGGTAATCTTCTCATGCTCTTCCTCCCTACCCCATTTTGAGTCACCCCCCTTATATCAGAGAAGACATTCGGCATTTGTTTTTTAGGGATTGGCTAACTTCACTTAGCATAATGTGCTCTAATGCCATCCATTTCCCTGCAAATGCCATGATCTTGTTATTTTTTAGTGCTGAATAATATTCCATTGTGTATATATGCCACATTTTTTTTTTTTATCTCTTCATCCATTGAAGGGCACTTAGATTGGTTCCACAGTCTATCTATTGTGAATTGTGCTGCTATAAACATTGATGTGGCTGTGTCCCTGTAGTATGCTGTTTTTAGGTCTTTTGGGTATAGACCGAAAAGAGGAATAGTTTGGGTCAAATGGTGGTTCCATTCCCAGCTTTCCAAGGAATCTCCATACTGCTTTCCAAATTGGCTGCACCAATTTGCAGTCCCACCAGCAATGTATGAGTGTACCACCCCACCCCCCACCCCCGCATTCTCGCCATTATTTGTTGTTGTTTGACTTTATAATGGCTGCCATTCTTACTGGAGTGAGATGGTATCTTAGAGTAATTTTAATTTGCATTTCTCTGATTGCTAGAGATGGTGAGCATTTTTTCGTGTATTTGTTCATTGATTGTATATCCTTTTCTGAGAAGTGTCTGTTCAGGTCCTTGGCCCATTTGTTGATTGGGTTATTTGTTTTTTTTTGTTATTTAATTTTTTGAGTTTTTTGTATACCCTAGAGATTAGAGCTCTATCTGATGTGTGAGGGGTAAAAATTTGTTCCCAGGATGTAGGCTTCCTATTCACCTCACATATTATTTCTCTTGCTGAGAAAAAACTTTTAGTTTGAATTCATCCCATTTGTTGATTCTTGGTTTTAACTCTTGTGCTATAGGTGTCTTATTAAGGAATTTGGGGCCTGACCCCACGTGATGGAGATTAGGGCCAACTTTTTCTTTTATTAGACACAGTCTCTGGTTTGATTCCTAGATCCTTGATCCATTTTGAGTTAACTTTTGTGCATGGATTTTGTTGCATATGGATTTCCAGTTTTCCCAGCACCATTTGTTGAAGATGCTATCCTTTCTCCATTGTATGCTTTTAGCACTTTTGTCTAATATAAGGTAGTTGTAATTTTGTGGGTTGGTCTCTGTGTCCTCTGTTCTGTACCATTGGTCTACCAGCCTGTTTTGGTGCCAGTACCATGCTGTTTTTGTTACTATTGCTCAGTAGTATAGTTTAAGATCTGGTATAGTGATACCACCTGTTTCACTCTTCCTGCTTAGAATTGCTTTAGCTATTTTGGGTCTCTTATTTTTCCAGATGAATTCATAATTGTTTTTTCTATTTCTGCGAGGAATGCCATTGGGATTTTGATTGGAATCGCATTGAATCTGTAAAGTGCTTTTGGTAATATGGCCATTTTAATAATATTAATTCTGTCTGGCCTTATTTTTAACTACAGTGATTTAGAAGGTGAAGAAATATCTCTATCAACTTTACAGAATTGAAAATTTCTTTTTACAAAGTTTTCTAATATCCTGCCTACTGTAAAAAAAAAAAAAAATAGGAAAATCTAGAAAAGGAGAAATCAGAAAGGAAAAAAAAAAATGCCCATATAATCAAATAGTCCCTTCAGGTATGTTTTCCCCAGCCTTTCTTGAGGAGCTTAGGAGAGTCCCTCTGCTTTTGAAAGACCCTGCCCTCCGGCTGTGCTTTTCTACTGTTCTACCCCTATGGCTCTTGATGCTACTGAAAAGCAAGATGGTCCTCAGATTCACCTGCACCTGGTTCACCCAGTGGACCTGATGGTGAAATGTAGAAGGCAGATTTTATTTCCAAGATGTATACAGACCTTATCTCATCTTCACCATGCCAGAACCTTAGATATTATTAGTTTTCCTAGGTGTGGTTATGGTATTATGGAGATATTAGGAACATATCTTCATTATTTGGAGATAAATGTCAGAGTAGTTAGGGCAAGGTGTTATAATGTCTGTAACTTACTTTCAAATTGTTCAGAAAAAAAAATATCCTTACAGAGCTATTGAATTTAGATGGTAGATCTTTTGTTTTTTTCCTCCCAACTTTTCTGTAAAATTTTTAAAAATTTTCATACCAAAATATAGAAGAGGAAGAAAGAATTACATTTTTAGAAAAGCAAAATAATAATAATAATAATAATAGTGAAATGTCCTGGAATTTTGCCCTGAATGGTCTCCAGGGCCACAGGTCCTGTGGTGTCCTGCTGATTGTCACAGTCATAAGTCCTACATGCTTCCCTGATAGGGGAAGGCAACTAAGTTCACCCCCACATCAGTGGTTTAACATTTAACTGTAGGGTATAAATGAAGTTACCAGAGGGACATTCAACAAACAGAATTTCAAATCTGTCCAAGTAGCATTTGGGGGCAGTGTGACATGATGCTCCTACACCTTCTCCTTTGAACTTTGCTTTTGTGTTGGAATTTTTTCTTGCCCTGTCCTGTCTTCCTGATTGTCTGCATCTGTTCCTTTCTCATCTTTCACTTGTGCTGGCAGTGGAGTAGTTGTTGGCCTGGGAGTAACTGTGGGAACAGACTAGTCCAGGGGAGACATAGCTGACAGTGAAAGTGATTGCAGCTATTGAATTCTGGGTTGGGGTTTAAGGACTTTTGCGGTATGTTAGCTGAGTCAGTCCTCATCCAAGATCATAGGGACTGTGAGATTGTAAGGACTGTCACATGCCCATTTTATCAGTGAGGAAACTGAGGAACAAGGAGAAAGAACTGGACAACCTGACTTCTTAACTAATGGAGTCTTGTGCTCTGATCAGTGTCAGTTATGTCAGCCTAGCCAACATAAACCCATTTGTTCATTGTTTGCTTTTCTGAGGTGCCAGAAGTTGGTAACACTTGTGCATTTGAGTGAGTATTGTCAATTGCTGAAAGTTGAGGACTAATTTTTACTTTGAACATTTTCAGTGGCAAGCACTGTTCATCCATATGTGTTAACAGTTTCTAAGAACGTGAAAAAACTTTAGTACTGAACGCTATTGGGCCATGAGTAATAAGAACTTTATTTGGATTTGGTGCATTTCAAGGTTGCTGTGGCTTTAAGTAGGCTGACCAGTTTGCATGTGTATATGTAGCCTTATTTTCTTCTAGTCTGTTACTGTCTGCATCTCTGAGGGTCTCTTTCCGCCTACACCACCCTTACACAGTGCAGTCAGTATACTTTTCCTAGAGTCTCCTAGTGATTGGCACTTTCTTGCTTCTAGAGATTTAGTGGTTTCCTGTTATCTATAGAATATAATCCTATTTCCTGTTATCTATAGAATAGAATCCTATTTCCTGTTATCTATAGAATATAATCCATTCATTCATTTAGCATTGAAGATTCTTGAAAGATAGTTCAAAACTGTCTTTCTGACTGTAGCTTCTTCATTTCCTTGTACTAACTGAAACTGAACTCTCTTCTCTGATAGTGTCCTTTGCATTTTTGCCTCTCCATCTCTGTTCTGCTGGATAACTCTTTATTCATAACTCTTATCCTCATCTGTTTATTCAAAAACCCTCTCCCTCATTTACTTTCACTGACAATTCTTTCCTTCTCCTTGACTTTGTTGAATTCAAACCATACCCATCATTTAAGGTACAGTTGAGATGCCACTTTTTTCATGAACCACTGTTTCTGGCATTGTCTTTAATCATTAGGATTAGAGAACCAAGACATGGGTGTCTCCTTTTATTTTCCGTATTGTGGTCTATATAATGAAATATACTGCCTTCTCTTAGGTTCTTTTAATGTTGCTTGGCTAGCCATAGAGTGGTATGAGATCATGGAGAAGTTCCCTGGTGAGGTTGAGGATTTCACAGAAGAGGTGACATGAATGGGTTTTAAAAGTGAGCAGGAGTTCAAGGCAGGAATTGTATTTCAGGCTAAGAAAAGTCTTACCATGCAATTCTTTCTGCATATGGGAGATTCCTGCCAAAAACGATCTGGTACTTGCCTCACACATAGTAGACAATAGAGATTAAAAAAAAAGATGGAGTTTTTTGCTTTCTTTGATGTTTCTACTTTCCAGTCTTTCTTTATCCTCCCTGTCTCCCCTTAAGTGCACATAAGTGAACTAAGCATGTAGCTCTATGTGTATGTGTTCATGTGCATGTTCTGTCTCTCTCTCCTGGGTATTGGAAACAAGTGTGCCCATTTTAAAGCTAACTGATTAACAAAGGAAACTGATTTTACAAACTACGAGATTACTTTGGTGCAAGCACTTTGAGGCTGAAAAAATAACATCAGATAGAAACCTATAATTTTTAACCCTATAGTATTTCAAAAGTTAAATTTTATTTTTCATTAAAATACCTAGTATTGTAATTTGAATATCCAGCAACTGATTATTTTTTTAAAGAATTTTTTAATATTTATTTTTTAATTCTCGGCGGACACATCTCAATTTGTATGTGGTGCTGAGGATCGAACCCAGCGCCGTGTGCATGCCAGGTGAGCGCGCTACCACTTGAGCCACATCCCCAGCCCAACTCATTATTTTTTATATAAAAAAGAGAACATTGTAATCTCAAAAAAAAAAAAAAAAAAAACCAAAAAAACAAAACCACAGAACAATGAAAATATTCATATTTTTCTGGAATTAAAAAGTATTACTTTAATTAGTAGAATTTAAAAATATATCTTTTAAGTGTAAAAAAATACATGTATATTGTAACTAAAAAATACAGATGAGTTATGGAAAAAAAGATATCCTGAATAATCAAGTTATCATTGTGACTATTTACATTTTTTTCTATAAAATTTCCTATTATATTTGTGATTGTACTATATAAAATTTTAAGTCTATAAGCATAATATTAATACACAAACATTCTGTTACGAGAAACTCTATAATCTATTACTGATTATAATTAACATCTATTATTCTATTATTAATTTCATAATATTCCATATCTAATATGCCTTAGATTACTTATGATTGGATGTTGGTTATAATTTTTTAATATTCAATCTCTTTAATATATTTCCAATTTTACACCATAATAATAAAACAATGCCAAAATCAATTTGTGATATTAGATAAAAAGCAGAATAGTTAAAAGTAATTGAAATATATAAATAAGAGAGACCAGTAGAGTAGAGGAAGGGGGTTGGGGGGAGGGAAGGAGAGGAAGAGGATGAAATTGACTGAACTACCCTTTGTTTATATATATGGATATACCACAGCAAATTTCACCTTTATATATATCTATAAAGCACTAATTTTAAGAATGTAAATAAATAGAAAGAAGACCAATGAGTAAAGAAAAGGGAATACAGGTTGGAATGGGAGAATGGGGGGAAAGGGGAAGTACTAGAGACTGAATTGGAACAAATTATTTTACATGCTTGTATAATTAGGTCAAAATGAGCTTCACTATTATGTATAACTATAATGCACTAATACAAAAATTATCACACATAAAATCTCAGAATCAAAATGAATATACATATTTCAGAAAGGGTTTAGTTAAACCCAAAGAATACTTTATGCACAATACTCTGCTGGTTTTAATTTTTATTATCTTAAATAACATCTTTTTTTAATGCTTAAGAGTGTGTATTGGATGATTTTTGGGGGGATATATTCTTAAGGTTAGAATCACTGGGTTATAAAGCCTAAATGTTTTAATTCATTGATCTTTGTTGCCAAGCTATATTCTAAAAGAGCTGTATCAGTTTAGCTCTTGTTCGTAGCATTTGAGAAATGTTGAAAATATATTTTAAAACTTTCCTTCTATTTATGTAATATCATTCCTTTGAAGAACTTTGTGCTATATGGTATTTTCAAACCATAACTTGGGAGTAAGATGTGAGGGTGGGGAAGTGGAATAGATACACTTTTGAAGTTTATTTCATCAAATGTAGTCATATTTGAATATATAAAATTAAATGATTAGCATGTAATTATAAGAAGTTTTAACTAAAAGACAGAGTAATTGCTACTCCTGCTTCATTGAGTACAAAATTATGACTCTTATATAAAAAAGTCTTATAAAAGATTCTTTTATAGCTAGGTGGGCATAACATTCATTAGTACACACAGCTCTCTCTTCAAAATAGTACTCTTTAAAAAAAAATGTTCTAATTTGTTATACATGACAGCAGAATGGATTTCATTTCATTGTACACAAGTGGAGCACAACTTTTATTTTCTCCTGTTGTACGCTATGTAGAATTGCACCATTTGTGCAATCATACACGTACATAGGGTAATTATGTCCTTCTCATTCCACCATCTTTCCTACCCTCATGCCTGCTCCCCACCCTACCCTCACCTTTGCCCAATCCAAAGTTCCTCCATTCTTCCCATGTCCCCTCCCCTCCTACTGGTATTATTTAGAATATGTGAAAACTGTCTACTTGGTATCATTGTTGATTAGCAGAATCCATTGAAACTGAGTTTCTAGTAGTTTTCTTAAGTCATTGTGCCCAAGCATAGGCCCTTCCACCTTGAACAATAGCCTGAATTCAGTAAACATGACTGTTTTTGAAATCTTAATCCATAAAAGCAAACTTTTAAAAATCTAGCTGTACTCTAATGTGTTTTAAATTACATATTTTTCATTAATTTAAATCTCAAAGTTTATTAATGTCTTAATACTAAACCAAAAATACTTATTTTTCCTTTTTTTTATTTTTATTATTGTTATTATTTGGTACCATGAATTAAACCCAGGGGTGCTTAAAAACTGAGCCATGTCCCTAGTGCTTTTTATTTTTTATTTTGAGACAGGATCTTGCTAAGTCTTTAGGGCCTCACAAATTGCTGAGATTGGTCTTACGCTTGTGATCCTCTTGCCTCAGCTGCCCAAGTGGCTGGGATTATAGGAGTGTGCCACTGTGCCCGGCTCTTCTTTCTGCTTTGGAGCTTTCAGCCAGAATATCTATTATTTGTGTTTTCTGTTCAGAATGTTTAATTATGGTCACCAAAAAACTGTCTTTACCCTGCCTTGGCTACTGCTTTGGAAATAGGCATGGAAATGATGAGATGGGGTCCAAAGCTGATCTTCCACTTGTTCTTCCTAGATAGTTTGTTGGGTTTTAGTGAAAATGGCTATTCAGCATTTTGAGGGATGATTTAATAATGGTCATTATTGGTTTCTGCCTCATGGCAGAAATAGTGAATGCAGCGACAACATCATATAGTAAAAGATAATCCAAGGATGATCTTCCAGAACTGTATTCCCAATGCTCTGTAAACCAGTGTGGACTGAGAAAAGATTATATATGTTAAACATTTTGTGGTTGAAATATAAACATTCTGTGCTAAAGATTTTTTTCCCCTTATGTTCTAGATTGGGACTTTAACCAGGACATCTGACAGCGAGGTAATGTGCACTTGGCATTGTGTTGTCTGTAAATATCTGACACCATGTTTGTGACAAAATCCTGCAGAAGCTTTCTTGGTCCAGTTGTGGTTCTTTCCTAGCAATTCCAGCAAATGTAGGGCCAGTACTTCCCCTCCATCAATGGATCCATGTTGCTTTTCTCTCTGGTTCTGTTTTGACCGTCACCAACAAATTATAGTCTGCTTTTGTAATTGTCTTGTTGAGTGACTTGTCTTGGCAGTTTGACAAGGTGTGGTCCTGCTTGGCCATCTATTCACTGGTATACTGCATGAAGCCGGGAGCCATATTGTTCCTTGCAGTGGGCAGCCAGGAAAGCAGTACTGTTTAGGGCCTTGATAAACAGTTTGTTTGAAGTAAGTGAACGCAGTTCAGATTTGGCTTGCCGGATAGGTTTGTACATTTCAATGTTGAAATAGTTTTACATACAAATTTGTAAATAACCATTAAGTGAACCCTGAAATCATTCATCTTAACACTTAGTATGGCAAACCAATAAATATAATTCAAGTAGGTTGGTAAATTCTTTGGCTTCCTTATTTATCTTATAATATAGATAATCTTGAACTTCTGCTTGTATTTTTAAACTCAATCGTGTGTCATTGTTAGAGTAACTAGGAGAAATATCAGTTTGGAACAAAGGTCAAAAGCTGTTCAGTATAGAAATAGTTTAATTTTTTAGTTTGTCTAAGAGCATTAGAATTGTCTTAAGATAATTTAGGAGAAAAGAGAATGTTCAGAATGTAAGAGTTCCAGTAAATCCCTCCTTTTCCCCTGCCCTCTTCCAATTAGAGCACATAGGAGTCTCACAGAAGGAAATTTTGAAAGTCCAATTTGAGGTTAATAAAAACCAAGTGGAAGGATATGGCCCCAGTGAGCTTCCCAGTACTTTACCTCAGCCTTGTTTTCTTCTGAACACAGCTTCTTTCTGAGATAGGCAGAATGCTGAATAAAAGAAACTTGCGTCCATTTACCTGCTATGCCTGATGTTCCTTTGAGGGGTAGGCAAACTGTAATTCCCCATCAGATTTCAAGTGAAAATGTGTAAAATGTTGCCCCCCCCCCCCCCCCAGAATTGCTTCATCTTACTGGCATGTGTTTATTTATGTGTGCTTTATTTAGGTTCCAGATGTGGAATCTCGAGAAGACTTGATTAAAAATCACTACATGGCAAGGATAGCGGAGCTTACGTCCCAGCTGCAGCTGGCTGACAGTAAGTCAGTGCATTTTTATGCTGAGGTGAGTCGGGGAGAGTTAATTGGGCTGGTGGTTTTCCTCACCCCTCAGGAATCAGGCCACCTATTCTGCCATTTGCTAGAAGAGAGAAGTCAATATGCATTTTCTGTGTACCTGTGTTCGTGCTTTTGGTTGCAGTTCATATTGATTAGTCTATTAACCACCCCCCAAATCTTAATTTCAATAAGACTGATTTGTCATTTCCAAGCTACTGAAAGATAGCCGGGGGACTTAGAAGTAGCCTTTCCTATAGTCATATAATATACATTTTGGAGCATTATTATTAGAGATTTCAAATGTTTTGCAGTTAAGGACAGGTAGATGATCACAGATGAAGGAATTCTCATGTAGGCAAGGTAAAAAACAAATACACCGTTTTTTAAAAAAACACTTTCCAATTTCTAAATAACAAGTTAAATGAATTACTATAAATGAAAAAAAAGTAACCTTAAAGTTGTTAAAGATATTGAAAAACACAACACCCTTTATTGAGACCTGACTTTATCTGTGATTTTCTCTTATACTGTAGAGATGGAGAGGTTGATAGGAGGCCAGTTGCTAGAAGTGGAGAGGAGCTTTGCGTATTTTTTCTGCTAAAATAAATGATGTGTGCCTAGCTCAGTGTAGTGTGCAAGCAGCTATTGCATACATGTTTGATAAGTTGATCAGTAGCGATCATTTGTTGGAATGCAAAAAGCAGGGAGGACAGCAAATGAGAAAACTTGCAGAGGAATTGCTGTAATACCTAAGCCATGCGGTACAGCAGTGTATCCTCATTATTTGGTTCTCTAACTGCTGAGTTAATGTCTCAGATTTGACTGTCACCTTCATGAGCACCTGTGCCTTACACGTCTCTCCATTCTCTGTCACATCTAGTGCTGAGCAGGGTTGGTGTTTGATTAATAAGATGTAGTTTATTTGGTTGGCTGAACTGTCCTGAAATTTTCTTGAGAAATAAAAAGAGTAAATGGGAAATTTTTTTTAGGCTATCTTATTTTCAAGAGATTTGCCTGTTTTCATAAATGTCTTCAGCATAATTGTGATACAAAAATTTGTAGATTGTCCCAGTTCTTCCTCATCAGTAAACAGGAAGTGGTGACCTCCTGAATGACCTTACTGGAATGGTTAGTCCAAGCGCCTGTTGTGGACACAGCATTCAAATGTGTCTCATCAGCTTCTCTTTGTCATTCTCAATGGTCTTATCCGAAAGTCTAGCGATCCTTTTAATTACTCACTTTCTTTGAACAATAGTGCAAAATAGAATTTTTCCTTTTTCATCTGCTCTGTATCTGGATGATCTAGGTTTGGTAGAACTCCCAGAGAAAACAGCTGTGATCATAACAATCCTGTGCTCATTTTTTCCCCATACAGATAAAGAATAACTTATCAGGTGGGACTGTGAAGCTTTTATTGCGCTTGTAATGCGCTCTCTATTGAAGGACTTAAAAGTATCTTAGAATCCATGGCCAGAATGCATTGATCACTTTTGAAATAATCACTTCCCTTTTCATCTATCATATGGGTAAATGTAGAAAGTTCTTACTTTTTTTTTTTTTTTGGACCAGTGGTCATTAGATCAGAGCTAGGGAAAAAAACACCAATGGGCTTGGGTTATTAGACAAAATTTTTATTCCCTTACTAAAATGATGCAAGTGGGGCCTCATCTGTTGTACTCAGGTGTGGTACAGTGCCTGTAGGTGTTCAGCAGGTGCTGTGAAATGAATGAAAAATGAATGGCTTTTGCCTTTGGGGATTATTTTCTAATAACCTTCTCGGAAGTAAATTTGTTTTTGGAAAACACTGTTTCTAGAAATGGAATGTTTTCTGATTTTACAGTGCCGAGCACTCACTAAAAGACTAGCCTTGGCTGAGAAGTCTAAGGAGGCATTGACAGAGGAGATGAAACTTGCCAGTCAGAACATCAGCAGACTTCAGGTGAGTTTGTAAGTGTTATCTAAGCAGGCTTAATGTTTTTTCACTGAAAGCCCTTGGGCAGACAAGTCAGCCTTTCCTTTCAGAAGTTGTGGCATTTGACCTCTGCATATGCTTTTTCTAACCACTTTGTTCCTAGCTTATTTTAAACAAACATCTTATGTCAGACAAAAAGTGCTTGACTTGTTTATTTCTCTGACTTGACCTTTATTTTAAATTCTTCTACAGTCAGCATGTGCTTGAATTATATTTACTGATAATCCTCCCGCCCCCTTCCTTGTAAATACTCCTCATAGTAGACTGGAGGCTTGTTCTACACACATTATTCTGTTCTTTCTCTTTTCTTTTTCATAAAACTGACCTACATTGAAAGGTGGGGCTGCAAAACATTCTTCCTTCTTCACCACCTTGTTTTGTAACATGGTACCCTTGTTACGTAAACATGGTACCAGACCAAGGAGAATACATCATCACAGTGCCCAGCTCCTCTTTGTTGATCAGCTTCTCAGATTAGTTAGGAGCCCGTGTAGGATCAGATCTGAGGGGCCTGAAGAGAGCATGAGAAGCGGGAGGAGAAAGGAAGGGCACTTCGTCCCTTGAGGGCTGTGGGCCACTGAGGAGTGGGATGGTGTGAAAGTGTCTGCGGCCCTGTGTGAGGCTTGAGAAAACCTGAGGGGATCTGCAAAGATCATTTAGTCCTCTGGCCTTTCTGATGATTTTACACCTGGTACAGAAGGAAACCCTTAAACATTTTTGCAAAGAAATTAAGGACATATTTTGAAGGCTGAGAGAAACTTCTCCATTTCTTTTTAAGTTTTTTTTTTTTTTTTTATTAGACCTGTGCCTTCACCTTTGTGTTAATTGATCAGCTGGGCCATCTTCATAGGTTGCTTTTCCAAATTTTAAAAACTAATTTTAAAAGCTTCAGACTAGAGCGACTAGTGAGGCTTTAAATTTCCTTTTTTCTCTCTTTTCCTTTGCTCTTCAGGATGAGCTGACAACCACCAAAAGGAGTTATGAGGATCAGTTAAGCATGATGAGTGACCATCTGTGCAGCATGAATGAGACATTGTCTAAACAGAGAGAAGAGATTGACACCCTGAAGATGTCCAGTAAGGTATGTGGGGTGAGGTGAAGAGGTAGTCCCTCTGCAATGTATTTAATATAGGTAATAGAAGGTATTTCACTGTTATGCATTTCAGGAGTGAAAGATTATGAGATTTATAATGCTTATAGATTATTTTCCTTAATCTCATTTGTCCTATCAAAAAGTAAAATTGAGTTTCCTTGACTGAGTTATAAACTTAGAATTTCTGACTTTTGAGGCATTAATATTGTGTCTGCTTCTTTGGGGGCACTTTTGGCATTTCTGCTATTCTTGTGGAAGAGTGGTGGTGGCACAGAGGTTTTTAGGAAGGGGATTGTGCTTTGTTTACAAAAGTATCTAAATGGTACTGTTGAGTAACCTTTAACAAAATTTATTCTCATAGGTATCCATATAACTAAGGAATGTCTGACTCTTTTTAACTCTGGAGATTACCTTTTTCATAAAGCCTCTGTTGTCTAAGCCAGGGTCAATAGATAACCGGTAATCTATTTAGGCTGGAATGTATATATCCACCTGCCATATCTTTATTTTTGTGTCATAACGTATGTATTTTTTTGCTGAGATGGTAAGCTTTAAGGGACCAGGTGCTCAGCTCAGTTCTATGTGTCATCTCAGATGCTTAGCACATTTCAGTAACTACAAGAGGCTATTTTACCACCATCAGCTGGAATTCGCTGTCTATAGCTTGTGCTCTTTGAGATCTGCTGCTGCTACTTAGTAATTCAGCAGGCATTTATTGAATCCTGCTCTGTGCACTGGAGAAGAAGTAGAGATGAATAAACCATAGCTTTATTTTAGTTTCTGCTTGTGGTGGTGTAGGGCAACATTGAGGTCAGTTGGGGTCTTCTTGGAAAATACATCATGTTAATGCATTTGTGTTTGCATTACATAATTTTTATTTTTCAGTGTAGTGTCATGGTATTTGTTGACCTCTTCCTACTTTAGAGGGTGTCTCTGATGCTTCTCTGGGCCTCATTGTGATGATTTTAACCAGCCAATATGGTTCTGATTATGGTTCTTCAGTTACTCGTGCTTCAGGAAACTTGAGCTTGGAGGCAGAGGGTGGGGGTTGGGCTTCTTAAATAATGCCTCTTTTTACCTTTTTGGCCTCTTGATATTCCAGAAGGGAAATGTCTAACTTGAGGTTATATTCCTAGTCATGGAGGAAAGCACACACATTGAAGAGATTACGTTTTGTCTTTTCTCATTTTAGTATAGAATGAGAAAGCCAGTTTTAGCACCTATCATTTGAAAAGAAGTAAAGTGAGTCTAGGGAAAGCCTTGAATCTGCAAAGCATTTGGTTCTGAATTGAAGAGGGTAAATGTTGAGTGCAGCAAAGCTCATTATCCCAGAGGTAATTAGATTATAGCTACTTCAGAAGGTAGGGAATTTTCAAGTTTTCTCAGAGCTTTTTAATCTGTTCCTCAAAATACATGTCATTAAGAAATCTCTAAGAGACTTGTCTTCAATTAGGAGTTTATATTGTTAGCCTTTCTTTGATCATGCTGTAATCCCTGTATTTTGCTTCCCCTCAAGTTTATTAATAATTTATAGTGCTATAGCATCATCTTATGGCTGAGTTGACATTGTCTCCATTGGATACCAAGTAAATATCCTCAACCATTTGTTTGCTATTATCTTTCTCTTAGTATTTGTGTTCTGCAGGCATTCCCCACTTACAAGAAAAAAAAATGTATCTATACCTCATAGTTTAGGAATTTAATTAAAATGTATTCCTAAGAAATGAATTGCTCCAAAAAAGAAAACATTATACAAAACCAGAAAGTCCAAGTTTCCTTATTTGATGGAATTGGAAATAAGTGAAGATATTTTCCCTCTAACTTATTATCAGCTTACTTTTGACAGATAATCAGTATCATTTGGCATTTAGTTGGCACATATTCAAAATTATTAGCTATTAAGGCCTTTATACAGTGTTTGTTTAAACAATCCAAAAGCATGTTTAGGCTAAAATTTTTTATTCAGTTTCATGAAATCTTATTCTCTGTTGTCTTTAGAACAAAATGAATGTTTTGAGGTTTTGGTAAATCCCAGATAGTAGCCTGCTTTTCTTCCTTTATTGCCTACCCCAGCCCCCACGGGGATAGGGCCCACTGAAGTAGAAAGCAGGGAGAGTTAAAATTAAACTGTTGTGCGATTATTGAATAAAAGTTACAATGAGAGGTTATCGGCTATTCTCCCTCCAGGAAGCAAAAATATTCCAAAGTGAAATATGGCCTTCTGACAACTTGGTTTATAAACTATGTGAACTATTTTTTTTTTGAAATTTGTGTTCTTATTGTTTATATTTTTCTTTGCCTAGGGAAATTCAAAAAAGAACAAGAGTCGATAGCTCATAAATAGCTGGTTGGCGACTGTTCTTTCCAGAGCTGCTGCTACTGCTGCTGCACAGAGCTGCAGGCCGAGACTCCTCGTCCAGTGCTGGCGGTTTCAGGAAGCTGAAGTGTTGTTGGACCTAGTAAACTAGTCAGTGTTGTAAATGGCCTTGAAACATTTAAAATATATTTGTAACCAGTAAGGAAAACACAGAATTTGATGTTGACAGTAAAATGGAAAACAGTACACATACCATGGATATTATAGGTTTCCTTATGCTGTTTTTACTGTGCACTTTTTAAAATTAGGTTTTAATTTCAGTATGTGAGAACAACAAATATTTTGTATATTTTCAAACTCAATTATATGGTAATCGATTTGGTATCTATGGAATAGATATATGTTTCTGGATAAAATGCTTAAATTGTCAAACTGTCATTACTTCCTACTATAATTGAAAGCAGTCTCCAGATTCTTTTTTAAAGATTTATTCATATTCTCTATCTCTCCCTCCCTCTCAGAGGGAATGAGTCTTGCAAACTTCAGATCCTGTGGGTTTATTATCATTGTCTTCAGCTCTTCAGTACCCTCTCTGTGTTAGGATAATAACTCAAGAAAATTCATGTCAATAAATTCATACTTATGTCAAACTTTCAGTCTCTATGAAAATTTGGTAAAAGAAACCAAAACCTGTTAAAGTCGACTTTACAAAACTTATAAAAACTCAGTTGACTTAGATGTAATCTTTCTAGTTCCCCAAATTGGAATAATTGTAGTTAATCCTTTATAATGCTTTTGAGTTTTGCCTTGAGAGCTGCTTGTACACTCAAGGGTCAAACAAGAACCCTAAGACCTTTAGGCTCCCGTGGTTTATCCCATAAATATTTTTTGTGTCATTTTAGTGTAAACTTCAGGAGTGTCTCTCCTTGCACCCCCACTCCCACAGCCCAAAATACATTGTTCCTTTTTCAGTTGCTTGCACAGGCCTATTTAATTCCCCAGATTAGCTGAGGGGTTCCTGAAATTCCTTCCTTCCTAACTCCCTCCCTGTGGCTGCATCTTCCTTGAGGCTCTTCCTAGGCAGTTGCTGGTCACCCTCCCACCTGCTTTATTCTGGTTAAGCTGAGAGCCCATCATTGGCTTCCCTCTGTGCTCAGTGTCAAGGCTGCTTCTGAGTCCTCAGCTGCCTGCCATGAAGAGAGACTCTGGTTATGCTCAGTCCTCATGGCAGTGAAAGTGTTTGGATCCTGGGTTGGGGGACCTTGGGGTTAGTTCAGTCCCTTGCCCCCTCACCTTATCTCTTGTGTGCCCTGTCCATTTCCAATTCTCTATCAATTAAACCAGCACCCGCACCCAGGTCCCCAAACACTGAGGGAAACATCAAAGAACCATGCTGACTAGCTCATCCCATTATGAGCTTGGGAACTTCACCTTCCAAGCTTACATTGTTCCATGATAGTCCTTTGGCATTTCTATTCCAAGTTTCAGTAATGACTGTACCACTTCTCAAGCCTTGTCCCCTCATAATCAGACTGTATACCATCAAACTCACAGCCCCTCAGCAGGAGTGCCTCTTCACTGCCACACTTGTTTATATATAAACCCATCCTGTGAGGCAATGGGGGCTCCTGATCCCCATAAAGCTAACATGTTTTCAATGCTTTGGTGCCACTCCCTTTCCAGGACTTTGCCTTTCACATTTACATTTTCAATTTCTCATTCTGCTTGACTCCTCTCCCCCAACTTCCAAACAAATTGAATTTACCCCATCCTTTAAAAAGTTGAGTTTATTAGAAACCAAATTTCCTGGGTTCAAATCCTTTTACTTACAGATTAGTTACTTAGCATTTCTGTGTCTCAGTTTTTTTTTTAAATCTATTAATAGGAGATAAAATAATACCTACCTCCTAGGATTTTTATGAAGATTAAATGAATTAATATTGTAAATTGCCTCCAGTACCTGGTATAAAGATTATTTATTAGTAATAAATGTTACTGGTAATATTATTGTCATTGCTACTTAAGTTATTTATTTTTCTCTTCCCTTTGTCCATATTCTTTCCCATTTTTCTTCCAGATTTTATGGAAATGGTTATTGTTGGTTGTCTTCCCATTTTTCCCAAGACCCATTTGCTCCTTTAATTTGGGGTAGTCAGGTTTCATTGCCCACATTATAATGAAGCCACTATAATGAGCCTTGCCAGTGTCCACCTGATTGCCAAGTCCAGTGGCTTCTCTTCATCTCTGCTCTTGCCTGAGTTTTCTATAATGTGAAAGATTATAACCCAGTTTGTCTTTGAAGATCTTTCTTCTTCTGGATTTTCCAGTGCTTCTTTCTCTTACATTCTTGTTCTCTTTTCCTATGCAAATTCCTTCTCAGTTTCTTCTGTGGTTCTCCTTTAAGTGTTCTTCAAGGTCCTGTTTCAGCTTCTCAGTCATTGAGTCTACTGAGAGATGTCAGACCTCATCTTTCCAGCTTTGACCTTTTCTGAGCTATTCCCCAAGTTCACGCTGTCATATGAATTTTCTCTACCAGGTATCCCATGGGAAACTCATAATTCCAGGGCTCAGTCAGTGGTAAATTCACTCACCCAATTCTCCTCCCATTTTTTTCTAGTTTTCTTGCATCTCACCAGATGTGTTTCTTACCTAATACTCATTTAGTCAACAGACATTTATTGAGTGCCTTTTATACACTAAAAACTATCCCAAGTGCTGGAACTCAAATAATAGACAAAAATACCTTTCATCATTGAGCTTAGTGTGGGGGAGAAAACAAAAGTAAATAAAATATACAGTGTGTTAAAAGCTTCTAAGTACTGAAGAGGAAAACATAAAGCCAGGGAAGGGGATAAGGACTTGATGGGATATTGGCTTTTAAGATAGAGAGACCAAGAAAGGTGTGACAAATGAGTAAAGATCTGAAGAAAATGAATCATGAGTCATGTAGACCTCGGGGAAAGAGTGTATCACACAGGAAGACTAGCACGTGCTAAGGTCCTGTGTGGAGAAAATCCGGAATCCAAGAAAGCAAGGGGCCCACTGCAGCTGGAGCAGAGGGAGCAAGGATGAGAATACTAGGAGAAGATGAGACAGCAGACAAGGTAACTGACCTGTGGGTTGTAGATGTTGGTCTTAAAAATTTGTAAGTACTAATAGGAAGCCCTTGGAAAGTTAGGGACAAAGCAAAGACATTACTTGAATTTAAGTTTTAATAGGATTCTAGTAACAATTCTTTGTTGCTCAGTTGAGAATAGATTAGGGGGGAACAGGGTGGAAACACAGACCTGTTAGATGGCTACTGCAGTAACAGGAGGCCATCTAGAGATGATGGTGGCTTGGACCATGGTGCTGATGGGGGAAGTCATGTGAAATCTGTGTTTGGATTTATTGTGAAGATAGAATTGATAGGATTTACCTAACAAATTTATCCAGAATTGCAACTCCTTATACTTTTATTACTTGTCTCTGCTTTGTTTTCCTTAATACTTATCACAATCTGGCATATGATCTATTTGCTTTATGTGTTGCCTGTTTCTGCCTCTAGAAGACACAGCTCTGTGAAGGCAGGTGTTTTTGTTTGGTTTGTTCATTGCTGTACTCTGTTCTTAGAAAACTACCTGGCAATTAGTGAATGTTTATTGAATGAATTTTGATTGGTTGGAGGGTGGGGTGTGCGAGAAAGAGAGGAGTCAAAGATGAATCCAAGAGTTTGGGCCTAAACAAGTGTCACTGAGGAGGACTGAGGGAGAAGCAGATAGCTTCTCCAAGTTGAAATTTAATCTGGAGACCTGGGAATCACCCTTGATTCCTCCTCATCTTGCACATCTCATTGGTTATCTTGTTTTACTGAATACTTCTGTCTTTGCAGTGTTTCTGACTTCTAACCTCTCTTTACTCAATACCTGAAATTGAGCCCTGGCTACCTGTCTGGACTGCTCATCTTCCTGTATTCCAGTCCTGCCACCTCTTCTACCATATAATTTTTCTAAAACATGTCTCTGCAGAGCCCACTTTCCTGACAGACAGCCTTCAGAATGGCTCCTTATTGTCTCTGGGAAGTCTGTTAGCAGTGTATATATTGCCATTCTTAGCTCACTTTCTCTTCTCTTTCATGCATGAAGCACACTCTCCTCTTTGTGAAAACTCTCGGGCCTCTGAGTCAGGAGGAATTTTGGAACAATAGGCCTGCTTTTTTCTTAGAGATAATGTAAATCTTGGGATTATTTCCCTTGTTGCTTTGGAGTTGGATCTATGGCAAAATGGTGCCTTTTTTTTTTTTTTTAATCTTTAATTTGTTTGTTTTTATGTGGTGCTGAGGATTGAACCCAGTGCCTCACACGTGGGAGGTAAGTACTCTGCCACTAAGCCACAACCCTGGCCTCCAAAATGGTGCCTTTTTGACTTATCTGCTAAGATCTTTGGTTTTTTGACAAAGTCGGTTCCCAAAGCATGGTGTAATTCTTGTGTACTAACTCTTATCCTAAGTCAGGCTTAGGTAGGCCATGACACTGTGGTTCCCTTTAAACTGCCCAACAACCATTATCTCATGCGTATTCTCACTATTCCCATTTTATAGATAGAAGACTAAGGTTTAGAGGACCAACTTGTCTACAGTCACACAACTAGTACATATTGGAGCCAGGGTTCAACTCCAGCTTAGTTGGCTTCCTAAGCCTGGATTATTCACTACTGTAGTGTGAACCTTTTAAATTGGGACTTTCAAGTTCTTCAGATACTACATATTTGGAGAATAAAATATCAAATTTCTCAGTAACTCATGTACTTCATTCAACTTTACCTTTCCACAGCTTTACTAAACAGCCCTTATACCTTTATCCAATTTGTTTTTAGTTAGCTTCTTAGGCAAATTTAAAGGTGTTGGTACAATGTTTGTGTTTGATATGATTTTTCTTTCCTGACACTGCATTTTTATTTACACAAAACCTTGCCAACCATTTATTCCTGTACCAAATTTGTTGTCACAATTTTATTATAGGAATTTTCTAACATACAAATTTGGAGACACTAATACAAGCCTTATGTCCCTATTACTCATTATGAACACTGTCAATCTTGTTTTACTTTTTTTTTTTTTTTTTTTTTTTTTTTTGATGCTTTTTTCCCCTATGGAGTATTTTAAAGCAAACTCCAAACATTGGGTCATTTGATCTGTAAATGCTTTTGTTCTGCATGCCTTTGAAAGAGTGATAGGCACTGATTTCTAAACCTTACACAGGTAATTAGTTCATTCAACAAGTGTGTGTAGAGTGCCTGCAGCCTGCTCAGTGCTGAGCAGACTGTGAGGAAGAAAACAGACATGACGGCTGCCTTTGAGAACTGACAGCCCAGTAGTGAGGCCAAGAAGTGATCACATAAGTACACAATGACAAATGTCATCAGTTGTCCATCCTGTGCTGGGATTGTCTCAGGTCAGTCAGCAAGAGATAATACATAGAGGCTTTTCCCCTCCAAATGTCTGTACTATTTGAGTCAGACTGTTATAAAATATTTATTATTAAGAAACAAAACAAGGCAAAACAGAATGACAACAACAACAACAACAAAAAAGTCCCTTTTTTATCTTCCCCCCGTTTTATGCACTCTGCACTCAGCTTTTCATGACTCTGACAAAATACCTGAGAAAAACAAAGGAGGAAAGACTTTTCAAAGCTCATGGTTTCAGAAATTTCACTTCATGGTCAACTAGCTCCATTTCTTTTAGGCATGTGGTAGGGCAGATGAATCATGGCAGAAGGGCACGGGGGAGAAAAGCTCCTTAGAGAACAAGGAAAGTGCTGGGGACAACATATATCCTTCCAAGCCATGCCCCCAGTTACCTGCTTCTTCCAGCTAGGCCCCACCTTCTAAAAGTTTCCACCACCTCCCCTAATGCCATCAAATTATGAATCTTTTATTGGATCCATCCACCGATGAGGTTGGAGTCCTCAAGATCCAATCACTTTCCAAAAGCCCCACTTGTGAACTTTGCTGTTCCCGGGACCAAACCATCAATGCAGAGCCTTTGGGGGACATTCCACATCCAAACCATAACACCTGAGAAAACCACTGCCGCTCACTGTCTTGGTATCTCTATTTCCAAAAAGCATGTTACTTTTGCTTTCCTCTTAGGCATCATTAATTGACTCTGCAGGTGGAAGATGAAGATTTGTCTGCTTTATCCACTTTCCTGTCCCCAGCCCTCACATTCAAATAAATACTTTCTCTCTAAATTAGTATATCAACATTTGTCTAGGTTGATATTCAGTATATGCTTCATTGTGACTACTCAAATGCTAGTGGTAGCTGAGTAATATAACATCCTATGATACTTTTCCTTTCCTGTACAACTCTATTTTCTGTGGAGTTAATCATTGTATATTTTTTAAAATTATTAACTGTTTTCTATGATCCTTATCACTAATTTATTCCTAAGTTTTTTCCCAGTTATGATAACTCTGCTCTCAGTGTGTTCAAATCAATTGAGTGTTCAGCCAACTTCATCTTCAAGAACTGTCAAGCCTGCTGCCATGGTGTGTGCCTGTAGTCTAGCTACTCAGGAGGTGGAGGCAGATTAGTTTAAAATGAGCCCAGGAGTTCAACACCAGCCTGGGTAACATAGTGACACCCCAACTCAAAAAAATAAAAACTCTCTCCCAGTACCCGCAACCTGCTCCAGGCTATATTAGTTGATCTCTGGTAGCAGCACTGCTGTTGTCCCAGGACCTCCCTTCTTCAACATCCTGGGTATCAAGTGTCTTTTTCACCTTTAAAACAACCCTCACTCAGCTCCAGGAGCCCTTCCAGTGACTGCCCTCCCCCCTACTTACCTTTGCAGCCCACCTATCAAACTTACCTTTGCAGCTTACCTCTCCTGTCCAGGCCTTATGTGGCATGGAAAGTGAAAAAATGAGAGGAAATTCTCAGTCTAGGCACAGAGTAGGGACTTGAAGTCCATGAAAGCCAAGACCAAAAGAGGACTAATTAATCATGCCTTGCTTACTGGAGAAGAT